CATACATGCACAAGTAATATTTTCAGTCAAGAAAAACAGTGCTGAAAGGTGATTTATACATGCTTTTGAATATTCGTTTACTCAAAATTGTTTTCTCACAGTAAGTCACAATTTCCATGCTGCTCCTCTTTGTGCCTCAAAATGTGAGCAGACACAGGTGCTTCCCACAGGTCATGGATACAAGATCATATTCTTCAGCTGGCCTAAACAGGAAGGAGTACCTGTTTTGGAGAAAACCCAAATTATACTTCGGCTTTCAGAGTGCTTTGGGTTCTTTCCACTTCTGTAATTTTGACGTAATCTACTGATCAAGAAAAGCTGAATACTACATGCATATTTAATCTAAACTCCTACTCATCCCCTCCTCTTCAAAATCATACTGAAATTATCGTTACTCATTTTTCTAGGAAGCATGTCCAAGGAGCTTATTAGCAGTAGCAAAGCATAAGAACAGCAAGAAAGCTGGCAGCAATTAAGTGCTCAATACACAAGTTAAGGAATGCTAAGGAATACTACAGCTACACTCAGTCACTTAATGTGGATTTTCATGCCTTAATACAGTATCTAGTCCAAAATAGTTATTTGTAAGCCGTAAAAGTCCTTATGACGGATGAGGACACGCTTGTCACTTGAATTAGCAGGCTACCAACTGCAACATGTGTATTGTGCAACAGTGAGGCACACTGTTGCAACCTGCAGCTCATTTGCAAATAGCACCAGCTGTTTTTAAACACAATGTATGTTTCATGGCTCTTTCTTAAAAGCTTTAGCTAGCAGATCCGCTGAGAGGTGATGTTCCATTCATCAAGATTGCACTGAACAGTAGTGGTAACAGGTAGGATGAATCACAGTCATATTAGGATTGTAGCCAGATAATGTTACTATTGACTGAAGGTTCTGATTCTGACATCTCCAAAAAAGAAGTAAACACTCAAAAATCCATCATTCACAAAATTACAGAACTGTGGGGGTTGAAACATTTCCTGAGATCAGAGGCACATTCCCTGCACATTCCCTGCAGCAGGTGGCACTGGTAGGCATTCAGGCAGGTCTTTGGTATCTCTAGACATGGAGACTGCACAACCTCTGGTCAGCCTGTACTCTCTCAGTCTGACAGTAAAGTCGGTACGTTTGCGTGTGAAGTCAGTAAGTTTGTATGAAACTTGTGTTGCAATTTCTGCCCACTGCCCCTTGTTCTATGACTGCATGCCGCTGAAAAGAGTCCACCCCCAACAGTTTGACTTCTTCAGATGCTTATAAATGAAGATGAGATCTTCTCTCACGCTTCTCCCGGCTGGACAGTCCCAGGACTCTCACCCATTTTTTGCAGGAGACGTTCCAGGCTCTCAGCTACCTTTGTTGCCCTCCACTGTACTCTCCCCAGTAGTTCTGTCTTCTTTAACTGAGGAGCCCAGAACTGGACATAGTATTCTAGATGTGGAATTGTCAGGACAGAGGGGAAGGACCGTTTTGCTCAACTTGCTGGCCACGTCCTTCTAATTGCACCCCAGGGCACCACTGGCCTTCTTGGACACATGGGCATGCTGCTGGCTCATGTGCCCACCGAGACACTCAGGTCCTTTTCTACAGAGATCCCATCCAGCAGATTAGCCCCTAAACTGTACTGATGCATGCAGTTATGCCTCCTCAGGTGCAAAATTCTATACTTGTTCTTGCTGATTCTCATCAGATTCTCCTTCACCTAACTCTCCAATCTATTCAGGTCTTGAATGGCAGCACAGACTTCTGATGCATAAGTCACTTATCCCAGCTTTGTATTACCAACAGACTTGCTGAGGATGGACCCTTCACCTGGGTAATTTATGAAGATGCTGAGTAAGACTGTATCAAACAATGACCTCTAGGAACTCAGATACTTACAGACCTCCAACCAGACTGCGGCACTAATGACAACCTGGCAGTCACACTGTTCATAGTCTACTTCATTGTCTGCTCTGTCTGACGCTCACAAGAAGGCTGCTGTTAAATATCTTGCTGAAGCCAGTGTACACAACATCCACTGCTCTCCTTCCATCTACCCATCCGCTGGTAACATCATAGGTGGCTACCAGGTTGGTCAAGCATGACTTCCCCTTTGTGAATCCATACTAACTACCTCTGATAACATTCTTCCAATTACTTTGAGATGGCACCCAGAACAAGATGTTCCACCACCTTTCCAGAGACAGAGGTGAGGATGACTTCCCTGTAATTTCCCTGATTGCCCTTTTGGTCTTTTTGAAGAATAGTGTGATACAATTAGTCCCTCCAGTCTTGAGGGACTTCTCCCATTCTCCAACAGCTTTCAAAGATGACAGAGTGGCTCAGCAGTCACCTCTGCCAGCTCCCTCAGCACACACAGGTACATCCCATTGGGGCCCATGGATTTGTGTGCAATCATTTGAAAACCAGAAATTGGTTGAAAGGCTGCAGACAGAAGGTGGTCATCAATGGCTCTATGTCCAGGTGGAGACCAGTAATGAGCAGCAGCCGCCAAGGTCTGTCCTGGGACCGGTGCTCTTCAACATCTTTATCAATGACATCGATGACGGAATCGAGTGCACCCTCAGCAAGTTTGCTGAGGACACCAAGCTGAGTGGCGCAGTTGACACAGTGGAAGGAAGGGATGGCATTCAGAGAGACCTCGAGAAGCTTGAAAGGTGGGCCTGGGTGAACCTGATGAGGTTCAACACAGCAAAGTGCAGAGTTTTGCACTTGGGCCAGAGGAATCCCAGGCATCCACACAGACTGGAAGGAGCAGTGCTTGAGAGCAGCCCTGCACAGAAGGACCTGAGGGTCTTGATGGATGAAAAGCTTAACATGAGCCAGCAGTGTGCTCTTGCAGCTCAGAAAGCAAATGGTATCCTGGGCTCCATCAGAAGAGGGGTGGCCAGCAGGGACAGGAGGTGATTGTCCCTCTCTACTCGGCTCTTGTGAGGCCCCATCTGGAGAACTGTGTCCAGGTCTGGAGCCCCCAGTACAAGAAAGACAGGGAGCTGTTGGAGAGGGTCCAGAGGAGAGCCATGAAGGTGATCAGGGGACTGGAGCACCTCCACTACAAAGAGGGGCTGAGGGAGCTGGGTTTGTTCAGCCTGGAGAAAAGAAGGCTGCAGGGTGACCTCATTGCAGCCTTTCAATACCTAAAGGGAGCCTACAAACAGGAGGGGAATCAACTCTATGAAAGGGTGGATAACTGCAGGACAAGGGGAAATGGTTTTAAGTTGAGGGAGGGAAGATTCAGGTTGGATGTCAGGAGGAAGTTCTTTACAGAGAGAGTGGTGAGGTGCTGGAACAGGCTGCCCAGAGAGGCTGTGATGCCCCATCCCTGGAGGTGTTCAAGGCCAGACTGGATGGGGCCCTGGGCAGCCTGGTCTGGTATTGAATCTGGAGGTTGGTGGCCCTGCTTGTGGCAGGGGAGTTGCAGATTCATGATCCTTGAGGTCCCTTCCAACTCAGGCCATTCTGTGATTCTGTGATTTTGACTCGCTCTCTGATGAGATCCACCTTAACCAAGGGGGAAAATCTTCTATTACTCAGATTTGCAATTCTCTTCACTTGTGTACTGCAGTAGGCATGCATCCACAGGACAGAATTTTTGAGACAGGATCAGAAGTATTGTTCTCCTGAAGTCAGACTAACTTTTCTACCTTGCTCAGACTGAAACACGAAAAAGAAAACACAATTCTAAGAAGAAACCCCATTAACTTCTACAATGACAGTACTAAGAACAGATAATCAGTGCTATTCAGGCACAGAAAAATTGAGTCCTAAGATAAGTATATGTAAGCAGTTTCACCTATTCAAGCACTGAAAACAAGCAGTACTTCTCATTAAGTGATCCTCAGAAAATAAAGATTTTTCCACTAAATTATAACAGTAATAAAAATTCACCTTACCTGTTCAAGATTATAAGAAGACAAAGATTCTGAAGACCAAAGAACTCATTTGAGGACAAATCTTGCAATAAAGTAGACAGACAGGCCTTGTACCCTCAATTATTTCAAGGATATTTTTGCAGCCCCCTAAATCCTTGGACTACAGCCCTAATTTTCACACTCATAACTTCTGTCAAATATGTGTGGATGGATGCTAATCCTCATGGAGCTAATTGCAGGAACTCCACAGTCAGACAGGGCTCCACCATAGTTGTCAGTCTTTGACCTGCGGATGCAGGTGTACACAGTTCATATCTAAAGCTTATTTCATTCAAAATAAGAATTCTCTACTTTTTGTGCTTGAAAACCTTCATATCTTGGCTTAAGTTTTGCAGTGAGTAACTTTATTTCTACTACCTCATTCTTGTGTGAAAATACCAATTTTGTGGGCAGTTTACTGACAGGATGCTATTAAAAAAACCTCTCATTTAAAATCGAATGGACACCAAATTATGAATAGAATTCTACTTAAAGCTTCTTTCCTGGTGAAAAAGAGAATACTGCCTATTTTCAGATGTACTCTAACTCACTTGTTTTCGTGTACATTTTAGATATCAGTCATTGTTTTCATCCATTTACAAAATTTGTAATACAACTAAAGAATTTGAAATGTATTTTAGGTATTCAATGTGCTACTGAATTGTATACAATGTGCTATGAAATTTACTTTCCAAGACTTAACACCTACTCTACTGATTAATTCTACAGTTAAGGATAAAAAGCTACTGTATGTACAATCACTCCAGCACAGCTAAACACTGCTCATACCCAGTTTTACTTTAAAATAGTTACACATCACTGAGTTTCATCTCTGCAAACTAACAAGCTCACGGCTTCAACTGTTTCAGAAACACCTGGCTCTGTCACATCTTCTTGCTGTGAAAAATAAAGACCTTACCCTTCCAAGAATACAAAATTGCAACACTGGCTAAAATATAATTACAATAATGAAGGACATTACCAGTCTACTCGCCATATATACATAAAATAGACATACATAAGTCTATTTTCACAAAGCAAAAAACAATGCACAGCTACTTACACACAATTATCTTCTCACACATCTTCTGTTTCATTTGTTTATTCATTCAAAAACTTTCCATTTCCATCCAGTTGGAAAAGTTGGGGAACATCCTTAACTTTGTGAGGGGAATACAGTTTAATAAAAGTAAACTCCAAACTTTTAGAAAAACAAACATCAGTTTAGTCCAATATAACCTAGAACAATTAAACATATTTTTTATATTACTGAAAGTAATAAAATAAAGAAACTTCCTTTTTATTTAAAATATTATTTAAACAAGCCACTATGAAAGATATAAAAAAAATCACGCATTTCAAATCCAATGTATTTTTACAAATCTCTTAAGAATTGACCCTTTGCAGTTTCTCATCTTTTACAATTTCTGAAGATCTGAATGACTGATGTTATAAAACATTCTATAAAAACACCAAATATTTTATATATGTGTGTATATGCATATATATAGGGTATGTATCACTGTTCATCCGTCCTTCCAAGCCGCCGCCGCCGCCTACAGAAAGTCTTTAAGTTCCATTTGTTTGCCTCCACCATAAAAGGTCCATTGTAGACAAACAGCAACGTCATCCTTTCATTGTAAGTGAGATTCTGCAAGAGCTGGGGAAAAACACAAAAGTCAAAGTTTAAACAGCCAGAAAAGACCACGTTCCCCATTACCTAAAAGCAGAGAAGAAGGTTAATGTAAAGCTTATACCTTAAAAGGTCAACACCACAGGATGAATTTCCTAATTTTTCTGACAGATGACGTATAGTTTCTTCCCAGAAACCCCCAAAGAGGCTGTACGTATAACTCAGGTAACTTACATGTTGCACTTGTTTCTTACTATGAAAAAAAGTTTCTATCTGTATCTTCTTGCGGTGAATGAAGTCTTCGCTTACTTGCCCTATCCAGGATTACCTAATTTTAGATTACTTTGACCTGTAATCTTGCTCTCTAGAAAAGAAACAATCATTCCCTATATGATAGTTATTTGTATCATAGTTTGGTATTACAAACACTGATTTTCAAACCCAGGACTCACTGCTAAGAAATACACTCACTCATTCTGTCAGTGAATCACAGTTATCCAGAATGCAACTTTCCTTATCTTTATTTACATGAAGTGGTATTTCAATACAATTCCTTCCAGTAGGCCATTACAACTTCAACATCTGGTTATCATCTACTCATGACTGATTTTACTGAAAATCTGTTTATGAAAAAAAACACCAAAAAATCCCAAAGAAACCAAAAATACAACATGGTCCAACAAAAACCTCAATATTTTCTCTTCATAACAGCATGACGCTGCTGAACCATGGTACTACACACTCTTTGATCTTCTTTTTACCATAAATGTTAGACTTTTTTAAACTCTGAAGTTTCTTCTTGCTTCTCATTTTTGCTCTGATTTTTGACTAACTTTGCTAATTCAATTTTTTCCCCTTGTCTATTCTTCATAATTTCACAATGAGCTCAACTTTTAAAACAGACTCCGAATCCTCAGTCATCTTCTTCAGCCCCCACACATGAGAAGCACTTCTACTGGTAGAGCTATACTTTCAATATCCATTCAAATGACTGCTGTTCCTCAAAGTAAGAAAGAGAAAAGTAGAATGGTAAGGACAGAAATCACAGAAATGCAAAATGAGACAGATATACACAACAAGACAGTCAAAAATAACACGACAAAGAAATGACCACCTGTGTGGAGATAAGTGAACCGCAATATCAAAAGGAATAACAAGCATCACCTTCCCTCTATTTTTATTTATTTTAGGTAACTGCTATAGCTGGCTTTTCTTAGGTCTTTCAATTGTTCTTTAAAGGAAAGAATAGCACATAATACCCCATATTTTTTTAAATGCAGCAAAAGTGGGGATATAGGAAAACTGACATCTTAATAAGAAGTATAAGGCCCATTCTTGTCTCCCTGGCATACGACTTATTTCTAGTGGTTCTAACTGCCCTGTGTTAGCTGAATCAGCCCCTGTTCAAAACACAGCTGAACTGCCATCCTATCTGATAGCCTTCTCAAGCTACATCATCAAACTCAGAAAGTTAACTGCTGTTTTTTTTGTTTGTTTTAACCTATATACATGATCGAGCACTGGCTGTTCCTGACTGGAAAGTCCTTTTCAAGCCATTTTCCATGCTGCTTAACACTGACCCTTTCTGTGCTTCTAAGCCCCTACTAGTCATCAGAGTTTCCTCCATGACTGTGAAACTTCTCTTCATCTTCTGAGCCCAGCAGCACTTGCCAGTAACACTAGCCTTTTCCACAGTCATGCTTGGAAATTGGTCTCTGTTTCAAGGACATTTGTGTTTTAGGTTAAAGCATTACAGTTGACAGTCTTGTTACAACGTACCCTATTTACCAGAGCCTACCTCAAGCCAGACACACAGAATGCCATCTTTATGATGGCATGAGTTTTCACACATACATGTTTTGTGAATTCCTGGCAAAACGGTCCTTAAAATTGATAAATTCTGCTACAGTTACTCATTTAATATTAATCCTTTAGGTAACACAAATCAAAGTTACTCAGTGTTTATAGAGAATCTGTCACACAAAGTTAAGCTCTCCTACACACAAAACTTTCATTTTCAGCCACATACCTTGGGTGTAATTAAGAAGTACTGTGATGTGCTTTCTTTACAAGCAGTTTTCACAAACATTTCAAAAACTCTTCTTTCATTCACTGGATCCATGCCCTTAAAGGAAAAAAAATAAAAAATAAAAAAGGCTGTTCTCTCTACTATTTCATAAGTATCTGTATAATAAGTGATTATTTACTGCACAATTGATCCTCACCTGATTTATTTCGTCTACAACCCTGAAAGGACACCTGTTGAGTTCCTGTAGAGCCATCAGGTACAAGACAGTTGAAACACTTTTCTCACCTCCACTCTGATGATACGGAGTCAATTCATGAAGATCAGTGAAGTTATGGAATTTGACTCTTATGCGAATTCCGTATTTGTCGTACTCCTCCTACAAAAGTCAGACCACTCTTTCAGAGAAAACATTTTTTCTTATATCCGACCTGAATCCTTATGTCCCAACCTGGCACAACTCAAGGCCACTCCCTCTCCAGTGTCACAAGAATATTCATAACAACAGCACTACTGTCTAGAGGGTTCTCCTCTCATGTTTACAGATAAGGGAAAAAGAGTCTTCTGAAAAGTAGGAAGATATGAAACTCAACAACTAGAAGACATTTTTTGTTTCTTGCATTATGGATGTTGATCCCTTGAGGAAAAAGCTTTACTCATTGGTACAGTAATACTAGTTAACCTCTCAAACTAGTTTTGACACCTTCCCAAGTAAAAAGGCCAAGACCTTCAAAGGAGATAGAAGGCATTTATTTTGGAGCAGCCCTCATATTTCGTTATGTTGTCCCATGAATTCAGAGACAGATGTTGGTGCCATGGCAGTAGAATTTGAATCTTCCACCAGTATTCCATTACGTGCTTTTGCTGTGCAACAGATGGCAGCAGAGGGGCAGTCAGCTGAATGGTGTTTAACATGGGAGCGTGTTTGAACCATAGAATGGCTGAGGTTGGAAAGGATCCTTTAAAGATCCTTGAGCTCTTCCAAAGGTTGTGACTGAATTCTCCCATGGGGAAAAAAATTGTACCTACTGACATTTATCGACACCCACTGAACATTTATGGAGACAAAACAGTGGATGCTAGCACAGTGAGGCACTGGATCACCTCTGCGAGTACAAACTTTCACAGGTGTGGCATGCAGGTTCTTGTTCATCACTAGTGAAAATGAATATCTAATGGTGGTGACTATGATGAAAAACAGTGTTCTGTAGCTGAGAATTTGCTCTATCAAATTGCGTTATTGTGCTCTTTTATCTGCAGTAATTTTCATGGAAATAAATAGGAGGCAGTACTTTCAGAGCAAACTACACACTGAGCCCCAATTCACTTTGCTTTTAAACTGTTTTACTGTTTTTCTCTGCATTCTTTTCCACTTTGTTTTTAGGTAAAGGATGGTATTTGTGTAAAAGAGAACTGTCTTTGTAAATAACTTTCAGAAGAATTGAAAAGCCCCTTCTCTTTTTATGCCCCACCACTTCATACTAGCTCTGATACACTGTTAAGCACTGTTCACATACAAAACTTTTCCAGTTACTGTTTTGTCCCAGACAATAAGTAATATTTCACATATTTTTAGAGCTGCTGGAGTAATTTATTGCAAAACAAAAAAACAGCAAAAAAAAAAAAAAAAAAAAAAAAGAAGTACATCAACTATTAATGCTGCAAAATGCATGCAGTACCTAAAAAAAAAGAATATTTAAGGTCACCATTACAGCAGTTAGCTTAAAACAAAACAACCAATTTCTCTTCAACTCACTACAATGAATATCACTCACTCCCCAAAGTACCACTGGAGCTTAAAACTTTTCATCAGAGGTTAAGCGTCAGTAATGATGCAACAGGCTGATTGCTACTGCTTCAAAACAGTCAAAATGCCAAAAGCTGAGAAAAACCATAGACAGAATTAAATCATTAAAACTGTACCAGCTTTTAGCCACTAAATCATAATAGAATAGCAAAATCAGCAACAACATATACACACAGAAGTATATTAACAACATGACAGATTTACAGGTAAAGTAAACGCAGCGCCTCTCACTGAGCCTTGTAAAAGAGTAACAGAGAAGGAAAAAAAATCAGAACTGAAACGCACAATTCCACCTAATACAGTAAAAAGAAGGAAGCACAGACAATGTTCTGAAATTTCAGATCATGCACTGCTCACTCACTGCTTTCCCTGAAGGCTATTGTTTTGGCAGAATGTAGAAGCACTTTCAGAAATTCAAGATCTAAAAGAGCATTCTCAAAATGAATCTTTCATGAAAAGAATAAAAACAATTCTGTGTTTGAGAATGCTGCATAATTTATTCAACTGTATGAAGCATCCAAACATCAACGAGTTGAACTCCTATGCAACTGAATAATGACTCATTTTCATTTTATCAGATTTATCAGTCAGTTCTAGCACACCGGTTAAAAAAATGGACTTCAAACAACATCTTCCCTACAATCCAAATAAATACTGATTAAATAACAAATTACCAAGCGAATGCGATATTCTTCTAGGTGAAAACTCAGTCATACCTCATTTTCCACATGAAGATCAACTTCACCGACACTTTCCATAGAACTAAAGAAGCCACTGAATTTCTCATTAATGCTCTCAACCATCTTTTTCAAGGGGTTTAACCATCTTTCTTTTATCTAGAAGTGAAAACATCCATGTAAAATAATTTTCTGTGATTTTTCTTTAGATATCAATAAAAAATATAATTACAGAAGCTAACATCTCACTTCATGCTCAGTTATTTTTGTACTCACGTTCTATTCAGATGAAGACATACTAACACAGAATTGCTAATTTCAACTATTACCTCTGAAATACTTTGCTTATAGTTATCCAATTCCTTTTTATTTTCTTCTATGTCTTCCATCAACTTTTGTATTTCCTCCATTTGCTTACTGCATTCTTCAACAACCTTTTAGAATAAGAATGAAAAGTATAGACAAGGTTTACCAACTCTAACAGGAATTGTAAAAATACTATCCTGCTCAAACACAATCATGTAACTGTTACACTGTACAGTGAACAAGACATTTCCAGCTTTAAGGCACATGAACTGTATTTCTTATTTCAGGTTACTGCAACTTTTAAAAAGAAAAAACAGGCACAGAACACACTGTTCTTTAGGAAGAACCTACTTACAACTCTAATGGATGCAGAATCTGGCATTTACACACATTGTTTCTGCTGTCTAGCTTATTAAACCAAGAAATCTAGTACAGAGTGGGAAGTAAGTACAATACGAGTGGAAGAAAAGGGAAAGAGGGTGGAGAGAAAGAAGTGAACATACTGAAGCACTCAGGCCTGTGAAACAGGAGACTCTTGATTTCTCTTCATTCAGAAAAGCATCTATTTCCTCCAATGTGTTTGGAAGAGTCTGAAAAGCCTAGAAGAGAAAAGATGTGTGCATTTTACATCAATGGTAATGAAGAGCTCATTTGCTAAAAAGAATTCAATAAGCCAGCAAACATTCAATTACTTTTTTTCAGGATGCCTCATGTTCAAAATTTTAACACAGCAACATTTCCTCACAAACTCTTCTGGACAGAGAATTACGTCCACAATGCCTATCAGAGATACACAATTAATTGCTCCTTGTTTGCTAACTTGTGTAGATACAGGCACTCAGACACAGCTTAAGCCAGGGCTATGTTACTTAGGCTGTACAAATGCTGCCAACGGCTGTAAAGAACTTCAGGCAGGTAACCAGACAGCCCAGCTTTAAGTGCTTTCACGTTACTCCCTTTAAGCAAGAAGCTAGAATAATACGGTCTTGAACTCTTTCTGTGAATACAAACCTAAAAATTTGAATTGAGATTTCAGATGATTTTTTCTTTTCCCTACGCACAGAGTAACCCAGCTCTAACAGTCTCGCTACTGGAAGATGCTTTAGAAGACCAAATAGAATGACAGAATTGTTAAAATTGAAAAAGATGACTAAGATCACGTGGTCTGACTGTCAACTCACCACCACCATGCCCACTAAAACATGCCCTTAAGAGCCTCATCTACACATTTCTTAAACGTCTCCAGGGATGGTGATTCCAACACCTCCTTGTGCAGCTTGTTCCAATGCTTACTGACTCTTTCAGAAAAGAATTGTTTTCTAATATCCAACCTGAACCCCTCTCTGGAGTAGCTTAATAATGAGAGGTAATGGACTATCTCTAATTCCCTAGGAAAAAAGGACAAGTCCCATCTTGTCCCAACCATTTCTCAGGCAGTTGTAGAGAACAATAAAGTCTTCCCTGAGCTTCTTCTTTTCAGAAGAAAAAAAAAGTGTTGTACTATAGAATGGCCTGGGTTGAAAAGGACTTCAAAGACAATTTAGTTACAACTGACTGTAGGCAGGGTGTCCAACCACCAGACTGCCCAGAGCCACACTCAGCTTGGCCTCCAATGCCTCCAGGGATGGGGCATTCACAACCTCCCTGGGCAACCTGTTTCAGTGCCCCACTACCTTCGGTATGAAAAACTTCCTCCTAATATCTAACCTGAATCTCCCATTCCCCCTTGTCGTGTCACTATTAAACCTTGTAAGAAGCTGTTTCCCCTTGCTCTCTTCTAATATTGGAAGGCCACAATGAGCCTTCTCCCCAGAGCCTTCTCTTCTGCAAGGTAAACAAGCCCAGTTCCCTCAACCTTTCTCCATAGGAGAGGTGCTCCAGCCCTCTGATCATCTTAGTGGCCCTTCTCTGGACCCATTCCAAGAGGTCTACATCTTTCTTGTGCTGGGGGCCCCAGGCCTGGATGCAGTACTCCAGATGGTCCCCACAAGAGCTGAGTAGTGAGGCACAATCACTTCCCTCTCCCTACTGACCATTGCTCTTTTAATGTAGCCCAGAACACAGCTAGCCTTCTGGGCAGCAAGCTCACACTGCTGCCTCATGTCCAGGTTCTTGTCCAGTCCTCTGCAGAGCTTTTCTCAAGGGGTTTTTCCCTCAGCCTGTATAAATACCTGGGACTGTCCCAGCCCACACGCAGCACCTTGCACTTGGCCTCACTGAACCTCGTTAGTTTCTTATAGGCCCACTTCTGAGTGGACTGCACCACTCAGTTTTTTGTCATCTGCAAACTTGCTGAGCGTGCATTCAATTCCATTGTCTTTGTCACTGATGAAGATGCTGAAGAGCACTGGTCCCAAGACCAACCCCTGAAGAGATAGCTTGTGACCAGCCTCCAACCAGAAACATTGCAATCCTTTGGCTGCAACCAGCCAACCAGTTCATAATCCATAAAGTAGTTAATCTTTCAAATCCACACATCTCCCATTTAGACAGAAGGAAGAACTAAACAACCCCAGTTCCTGTTGCCAGACCACATACAACTTATGCTTCAGACCCTCCATCATATTCACAGGCCTTCTTTGGACACGCTCCAGGGCCTCAACGTCTTGCAGCGTACCTTCCTACACTGACTACATTATTTCTGACGCAAGCCAGGATGCTGCTGGCTTTCTTCACCACCTGAGCACACCACTGGCCCATGTTCAGCTGTCCGTTGACTAACATCCTCAGATCCTTCTCCTCTGTGCAGTTTTCCAGCCACACTGCCCCAAGCCTGTAGCACTGCATGGGGTTGTTGTGACCAAACTCCAGGACCCAATACTTGGTCTTTTTGAACCTCATACAATTGGCCTCGGCCCACTGATCCAGCCTATCCATTTCACTCTATAGGCCTTTCTATCCTCGGGCAGATTGACACTTTCCTCCAGCACTGTTTCATCTGCATACTTATTGAGGTTGCACTCCATCTCCTCATTCAGACCATCAATAAAGATACTAAACAGGACTGGCCCCAGCCCCTAGGAAACCCATACCTCATAACCAGTCAGCAGCTGGATTTAACTACACACCACTCTCTGGGCTCAGCCATCTAACTAGTTTTTTATCCAGTGAAAACTACACGTCTCAGCCATGATCTGCCAGCTTCTCCAGGAGGATGCTGGGGAAGACCCTGTCAAGGGCTTTGCTAAAGTCTCTGCAGACTACATAAACAGCCTTACCCTCATCATATGGACAGGTCACCTGGTCAAAGAAGATCAGGTTTCACAAAACTGTGCTGGCTAGGTCTGATCCTCTGGTTGTCACAGATGCTGCATGATTGCACTCAAAATGATCTGTTCCATGACCTTCCTCAACACAGAGGTCAGGCTGATAGGCCTGTAGCCCCCTCAATTCAATCTTTCTTGTAGATGAGCAACACGTCTCCAGTCATATGGAACCTCCACAGGTGACCAGGGCCGCACATAAATACTGGGAAGTGACTTGGAGAGCACCTCTGCCATCTTCTTCAGTACCTCTGGGTGGATCCCACCTTGCCCCATAGACTTGAGATCATTCAGGTGTAATAGCTAGTGACTAACTGATTTCTTCTGAATTATGGGCGGGGGTTATTCTGCTCCCCATGCCTGTCTTCCAGCTCAGGAGGCTGAGTACCCTGAGGATAACTGGTCTGACTACTAAAGACAGAAGGCAATGAGTTCCTAACCTGTTTCTTTATCCTTGGTGGTAATGTTCTCTGATATATCCAATAAAGAATGGAACTTCTCCTTGGCACTCCTTTGGTCATTAATGTATTTGGAAAAACGTAACTTTTGTTATCTTTTTATAACAGTGGCCAGATTTAGTTCTAGTTAGACTTCTGCCTTTCTAATTTTCTCTCTGTATATAATAGCAACATCCTTGTACTCTTCCCAAGTTGCCTGTCCCTTCTTCCAAAAGTAGTACACTCTTTTTTAACCCAAGTCTTAGCAAAAGCTCCCTGTTCAGCCATGATGGCCTTCCCTGTCAGTTCATTTTCTGACACACAGTAACAGCCTGTCCTAGCACCTCTGAAGTCCTTCTTGAGGGATGTTTTGCCTTTCTGGATCCCTCTAGCCTTTGGAACTGTCTCCCAGAGGACTCTCTCAACCAACATCCTAAACAGTCCAAAGTCTGCCATCCGGAAGTCCAGTGTAGTTTTGCTGACTCCCCTTTGCAGACTTCACCATGAATGGAGAACACCATCATTTTGTGGTCACTGTGCCTAAGATAGCTACTGATCACCACATCTCCTTCTCTGTTCATAAAGAACAAATCAAGGAGGGATCTTCCCTTGGTAGGGAGGATCTTTACCAACAGTCATCTTTACCAACAGTTTCAAGGTAACGTAAATGATCTTTGCTGGTACTTTCCAGTGTTAAGTACAAAGTATTAACTTGCTGAAAAAATTAGAATGGTGTATGTTATCCAAAATGTAAGAGAAATACAAAGATTTATTTTTGTACATACCGTTTGAAACTCTTTTGGAAGATGCTGATCCAGATTCATATTGCACATCTGTCGAGCTTTTTTCAGCAACTCCTTGCAGTTCTCTGTAAGCATCCGCTTTCTCTCATCCAGTTCAAGAAAACGTTGCTGTTAGAAAATATATTAAAATACACATATATTTTACTTCACATTTCCTCTTGCTGGCCACTGTTGTCTATGAACTTTCATTAAATTTGACTGATTCTTTAGAAATGTACTGAACATCTAAACTTTACAAGCTGTTGTCACACAGCTGAACTTCAGTTCTAACCAGTGGTGACAACAGCTTACCAGCAACAAATGCTATTGAAATCAATAAAGAAATCAGAAATCAAGACTGCACAAAATTAAAAAAAAAATCTTCATTTCAACAAGTAGAATTTAGTCTGGCTTTCTGTTCAAAGTCAACATACATGAAGGTAAATTAATCAAAAGCATTTTCTTGTAATATAACTAAATTTATTTTTCCTGTAGACATCGATACTTTTTTGTAGCTTCAATGTGTCTATTACTTGACAATTTTACACTAAATTTAAAAATAAACCAAAAAAACAAACTAAAAATAAACCAAAATATAACTACTTGTGAGCATTATTTGCCCCCATCTAATTGCATTATTTACATGGCAGAGATTACTTGAAACTGTACAGAATAAACCTCAATTACATAATTAGAAATCCTCCATTTGCTGTTTCATATTCTACTACTGTTATACAGCTAGCAAAACAGAAAAAAAAACTCACAGTATTAAACCAACACTGAAAAGTAAGTGAAAAGCAGTTTTTGCTTTTGTACAGTCCTATGATTTTTATAATGCAATGTGACTTACCGTAACAGAGGTTGAAAATTCAATTCAGAAAACACAACACTTATATAAAGCTCTAAGCTAAAGATTATCTTTAAAATTGGTATTCAAGCAAAAAGCTTGGGAGAGTGCTTCTGACCCCACAACTCTCACTCATTTCTCTCTGTACACAGACCTGGCCTCACATCTGCTGCTCTGACACACAGAGTGGGACAACTGTAGAATAACTGTTACTGTCTCCCAGTTCAGGTGCACACAGCTGCAGAGAGCTGGAAGCTGCCAATTTAGAAGTGAAAAAGAGTACATACCTGAAGACTGAGTTTTGAGTTCAAGTTATTTTACTCTACTGCTACTCAGTGACTGATTACACTTGCAATCCACCTTTTAATAGACAGTTACATAAGAAGCATTCACAAAATCCTAATTCAAAATCCATCTGAACACAATTTTGCTTCAGAATTTCCTTCTAGCAGTTTGAAAAGTCTAATCACATTCCTACACTTCAGAGTGCTTTATCTCCCCATTTTTTAAATTGTTTTGTATTTTAGTTAAATATCGCAGCCCTCCAGTGGGGGGGGGGGAGGGGAAAAAAAGTTCATTTAGAGTTTATACAGTTAGATATATATTTATTCCACATTTTACAAAGACAAGACAGCCACTTACTTCCTAGCAATTTAATTAACTTTTATTTACTGAATGCAACAGATGTCAGATATGTAACAGATATGATCATGAGAGAATTTGGGTTATTGTTCTGTACGGCATGTATCAACTCAGAAGTCCTGTTGTCTCAAAACACAAAGGAAGCAGATTCTACATTAGACATAAATGTCCCACTGTCTTCATAACCACACTGTAAAGATTTTTCTACACTATCCTGGAGAAGTAAAGAAATGTCACATCGGCAAGAAAGGCTGACTTTATTGCTACACTGATAAGATAGGAATAAGTGGAGGATGGCCATCCTTTTTGCCAGAGCCAACATATTATTTCATTCTGGATTAACACAAATTAAACTGTACACCACAATACTTACATTCTATTACATATCTGTGTATGTCCAATTGTACATCTGAAAACAGTACTTTAGGAACATTTTAGAAGCTTCTGAATTAAAACTAGTCTGTATTTTCAATCACAAAAATTTAAAAGCCGGTTGACTTCAGTAAGGTTGTGTTTGACCTCTTCATAACGAGGCAAAGGATCCACTGAAAGGCTACACAGCCATGCCAATCTGGTTGGTCAGCTTGAAGTACACACTGGTGATCTCAGCCACTGACAGCTGCTCATGGCACACCTTCCTGGCAGAGATCATGGGCACATACATGGCCAATAGGAAGTGGATGTGTGGGTACGGCACTAGATTGGTCTGGAACTCCATCAAATCAACGTTCAGAGCCCCATCAAAGCGCAGCGAGGCTGTGATGAAGGACACAATCTGCCCTATCAGCCTGTTGAGGTTGGTGTAGGTTGGGCACTCAATGTCCACTCTTCCTGCAGAAGATGCAGTAGATGGCCCAGTTGTCCCCCATGAAGGTGTAGCTGGAATGCTCTGGCACGGTGTGGGAGATGAGGATGGAGTTGTAGGGCTCCACCACAGCCATGGACACCTGCAGGGCTGGGCAGATGGAGAACTCCAGCTTGGACTTCTTCCTGTAGTCAACTGAGAGGAGCTCCATCAGCAGCGAGATGAAGTTGGAGCCAGTACTACATCCCAAGTTATGGACCACAAGGAAGCCCTGAAGCCCCATGCACTTGTCTGGCTTGCAGATGCGGTCCAGCACCAAGAGATCATCCTTGTCAATGCTGTAGTGCCCTTGGGTGTAGTTGGTGGCCGCATCCTCCTTGCCCGTAATTAACTGCTCAGGGTGGAAGAGCTGCCAGTACGTCCCCATGCTCACCTCACCTATCACTGTGAGCTCCAGGTCCACAAACACAGCGCAGGGCACGTGTTTGCCAGCCCACGTCTCACTGAAGAAGGTGTTGAAGGAGTCACCCTCCCCCCCCGCAGATGGTCTCATCGCTGGGTATCAGGCTGTTGGTCTGGATGCCATGCTCCAGGCAGTACAGCTCCCTGCAGGCAATGCTGATCTGCATGCCCGCTTGGCCCATGTGGATGGAGATGCACTCACACATGGTAGCTGCTCGCTCTTCACTGGTGGTAAGGTTCTTCACCGTGTCTGCCAGGACCCGGAAACTCTAGGTGTGGGTGAGAGGAGCTGATTCCACCCCACTGTAACAGTGGAACAAGTCCGAGACCTCCACATTAAACTGAATGCACATCGGTCTATGGGGCCAGATGACATCTGTTTTAGGGTTCTGAGAAAGACGGCTGATGTGACTGCCGAGCTACTCTCCAACATACTTGAAAAATCATGGCTGCCCAGTGAAGTCCCCGGTGACTGGAAATAAGAAACATCACTCCCACTTTTAAGAAAGAGTTAAAGTATGATGTTGGGGAATTAAAGGCCGGTGAGCCTCAACTCTTTGGCTGGAAGATCTTGAAACAGATTCATCTACAAGCTTTATTAAGGCACATACGAGACAAAGAGATGATTCAAGACAGCCAGCATGGCTTCACTAAGGGCAGATAGTGCCTGAACAATCTAGCGGCCTTCTATGATGGAGTGATGGCCCTGGTGGACAGGTGAAGGGCAAAAGATGTCATCTATCTGGACTTCTGCAAGGCCTTTGACATGGTCCCTCACCACATCCTTCTCTCTAAATTGGGGAGGTATGGATTTGAGAGATAGACTGTTCAATGGATTAGGAACTGGCTGGCTGGACGCAGCCAAAGGGTTGTGTTTAATGGTATGACCAGGTGGAGGCCAGCCACGAGCAGAGCTCTGTCCCTTCTGGGGTTGGTCTTGGGACCATCATCTTCAGCATCTTCATCAATGACAGACGATGGCATCAAGTACACTCCTAGCAAGTCTGCAGATGACAACAAGCTGACTGGTGCAGTCCATACACTGGAGAGAAGGGAAGCCAACAAAAACGACCTGGACAGGCTGGAGAAGTGGGCCCGTGAGAACCTAACAAAGTTCAATGAGGCCAAGTGCAAGGTGCTACATGTGGGATGGGACAGTCCCAGGTATCTATACAGGCTGAGGGAAGAACCCCTCAAGAGCAGCCACGTGGAGAAGGACTTGAGGGTCCTGGTAGACAAGAACCCGGACATGAGGCAGCAGTGCGCCTGCTGCCCAGAAGATCAACTACATCCTGAGCTGCATTAACAGAGCAGAGGTCAGCAAGGAGAGGAAAATGATTGTCCCACTCTACTCAGCTCTTGTGAGGACCCATCTGGAATACTGCATCCAGGCCTGGGGCCTCCAGTACAAGAAAGACGCAGAGCTCTTGGAATGATTCCAGAGGAGGGCTGGAACACCTCTCCTTGGAGAAAGGTTGAGGGAACTGGGCTTGTTTACCTTGCAGAAGAGAAGGCTCTGGGAAGACCTCATTGTGGCCTTCCAGTACTTGAAGGGAACGTATAAACAGGAGGGGGAACAGCTGCATACAAGAGTGGACAGTGATAGGACAAGGGGGAATGGATTTAAAATGAGACAGGGGAGGATTAGTTTGGATATTAGGAGGAAGTTTTTCACACAGAGGGTGGTGTCACACTGGACAGGTTGCCCAGGGAGGTTGTGGATGCCCCATCCCTGGAGGCATTCAAGGCCAATCTGGATGTGGCTCTGGGCAGCCTGGTCTGGTGGTTGGTGACCTGTACATAGCAGGGGGGTTGAAACTACATGATCATTGTGGTCCTTTTCAACTCAGACCACTCTACAATTCTATGATAGGCAGAAATAATATTTTGAATAGACAAAGTTACTATGAAATACAGCCCAGAAAGAGCTTCAAATTTGCTTCAGCCAACAGTGTAAGAACCAACTTGGTGGTTCCTTCAGTAAAGGTTTGTACAAGTGCAGGGCTTTGATTACAGCTTACTGAAGTCAAGAGCAGGATACACTCTCAATTTGCATTCTGTTGTGCTCACCAATGGCGCAATTGGTTTTGTGCAAAAAGTGAAGCTGGTTATAGAAAATACACTATCACTATCCAACGTCTTCTCAAGAATTAGTGTCAGAACACTTGGCTGGTGGCAGTAGTTAATTATTTCAAGTTTGTAAATTTATACAAAGGAAAACAGATTTTGCATTTTATTAAAACCTGACTTAATGAGCAAATGCTGCAACGTACATACTAACATCAATAATTTAAACAAGTTTACAACAAATGAACCTAACAAATAACAAGCTATCAAAGCAAGAGAATTACCAAGACTTCTTCAAACAATCACTGTGAACATGTAGGCAACTCTGCCAATTATCTAATAAGCAGATGGGACTAACTATCCTCCCTGATGCTCAATACAGGTAACAAACACAGATTTACTTCTTTGGTTCACTAAATAAACACAAGATGTTATTAAAATAAAACCATTGTTCTGACTTGTACTGAAATGACAAAACATAAACTCCAGCTAACTTGTCTTGTTGAAAAAAGTGCACTGTTCTGGCCTTTTCAAATCAGTAGTTTAAAAAAAAAAATGGGGTCCACTACATACACACTGCTCTCTCCACTATATGCCAGTGCCAAGCATTCACAAAAGGAACATGTGGGATCTTCTCTTAGACATAATAAGAAGGGTCTCTGTTTCAAATATTAATCAGATGCTTACTTAGGTATTACTGAGCCTCAAAATTTCTTGGCAGATAAACATCATGAAGAAGTGCTAAGCTTCTTCAGTTGATTCCCACCGTATCAGTTTCAATTAATGCATCAAAACCAACACATGACCTACAGAAGTATCTGACGATCAGAGAAATCAATAGCCCCATAATCATAACAATTAGGTTTTAATTTAGTTTCATTATATAGCTTCTTTTCAACATACTTATTTCTGTTTTCTCCTTTTTGCAGGCTTATTTTATGAAAGCATGCAGCAATTTTACACAAAGCACTGTGGTGGCATCCTCAAGGACAGCTTTGGAGCAAGACTATCCTCATGCAAAACTGCTGCAGGAAAAAGATCTCACAGACAACATCGCTAAGAAGACAGAGTGCGCAATTTAAATACAGTATTATTTTAAACAATACCCGATTTGATATGATAATGTATAATTTGGCTAAGTTATAGAGACTTTGCTCTGTTAAGGCAGAATATGAGACACACTAGAGTGTATAACAAATCATCCACAGTGCAACACAGCAAAGAGAATACCTAAAAAAGAACCATGAGGCTTAATTCAAAGACTCAACATGTTGCATTTGGGGAAGCATGGCTTTGGACTTTTATGTAAGTGAAAACTTTGAACACATTTGAATACTCCAAAGAGTTTTCCTCCACAGCCATTAAATTTCTGGAAAGACTGATCACTAGGTTTACTAATTAAAGGACTGGGGTTTTTAATGTTTCTAAAATCAAGTAAAGCAACCATCACAAATAGAAGTTCTGATATAATTTCCTCCACTTAAGTAGCTGAATGCAGCATCAGAGACTAATAGGACCTCAGCTGACCCAAGCACCTGTTCACTAAGCAATGAGGCAATCCTTCTCTAACCAAGAATCATCAGAATGTTTACCTTACATACCACTTACTTATCTGACTAGACATCTAGTTATACAACAACTCAAAGCTGATCTCTAAAGGGTGAAGAACATGGGAACAAAACCAAAAAGTATTAAATACATTTACAATACAAAGTGACAATACAGACTATTCCATGAAGTTCATGGCTTTATAAAACATTCTTACTCCTTACCAAGCTCAGCAATACAGCAATTCAGATTGGATTTTGAGTAAGTCTGAATAACAGCCACATCACATGAGAGATCTGATCCAACAGTGACTTTCCAGGCAACATCCTGGATTTGCCTCTATCTGCAAGTTACTTTTTGCTTAAGTTCTAATTTTCCTAGTTATCCTGCTAGTGATAATACCTGTAACCTCCAATAGTTTATCTAAATATATGCTCAGGTCATTATTTCTCAAAATGTATAATCATCCAAAATAAAAATCACTTTTCAATTCAACAAAATTTTTTTTTTTTTGTCTATCAGACTAAATTAGCATAAGTTATAGTAAACCTTACTCACTAAATAAGGAACAAACCTACCATTCTGGAGCTGTATGTTGAAAGATTGCTTGTTTACTAAATAAATACAGAAACCGATCTCCAAGCAGCAAACCAATACACTAGAAAGAACAACTTTATCAGCTCCTCAGAAACTGCCTTTTTATCAAAATTCCTATCAGATTAATGAAAGGACTAGTAAACACTAGTAATCAAAGAAAGAGTACAGCAGCTCTGCTGCATTCTAATGCAATGTGTTTTGGTTCATCATGATTCTGCACTGACCACGTGGGTTGGGTCCCCTTGTCCATGACAAATTCAGAAGAAGAACATTTCCAAAAACCAGCTAACCCTTCTACTCAGACTAACAAGGACATGACAATTGATGAAGTTCTCATAGAAGTTCATTGAAAATCTGTAAATGTGTAAATCAATCAATCAAACCACAGAAATCAAGGCTGAATTAGCAATATTAATATACATTCCTAAGGAATGTCAGAGAAACTTCCTCTTCTACACTATAAAGGCTTTCACAGAACGTAGTTTCATTGTAGATTTCCCACTATTCACAGAAATACTTACCTCTGAAGCTCGCAGCTCTACACTTGCTGCCTTGTACTCTGCTTCTAGTCTGTTCTTCTCAGCATCCACTGCAGTGCTCTGAAGGATGAAATCTGCTTTGCGGATGTTTAGTGATACATAATTCTGCGTAGGAAAACAAATAATGTGTTTTTCAGCTGCCCCACTGATCAACTCCTCACAGTTTTCTAGTTTTCTGCATGACACCATATAATATGGAATATCCCTTCGGTCAGCTGAAATCAGCTGTCCTGGTTCCGTGCCCTCCCAGCTCCTTGTACCCAGCTCCAGTCCACTCAGTGGCATGGCAGTACCAAAAGCTGAAATGCCCTTGGCTTTGTGAGGCACTGCTTAGCAAAAACTGAAACATCGGCATATTATCAGCACTGTTTTTCTCCTAAAGCCAAAACATAGCATCATATCACGCACTACGAAGAAAATCTTTCTTCAGCTGAAATCAGTACAGAAGAACTCAATTGTAAGAGAGAAATCTGTTACACAAAGGAAATAGATTAAATTTAAGTTTTCTAAAAAAAAGAAAAGAGTTTGTGACAGTTTAAAACAGACAGGTTACAGGAACTACTTCATAGTGCTCTTGTGTAAGGAATATCTTCCCCACTTTTAGCAGTAAGGTGGACGTTTAGAGGGCCTGTAACATTTTTTTTTCCCAGTAAAAAAAAATATAAAAAAGCAGATTATAAACTGAGAAGAAACAATCTGCATAAACATGCAGTACTCTGAGAAAGTACAAAGAAATTATTGCACAGTTAATTCCTGTGTTCACAAAAAGACAGTGAAAGTCTAAACTGAAGCCAGCTAATGATTTATAAATTGAGTCAACAACAGATAAGAAAGCACAAGTTTATAAAAGCTTCAAAAGAAACCTATCTTTAAGCAAGATAGCTTGCAAACATTTGCAATGACACATTCATATATTGCATTACTCCTACTCATAAGAATTAGACTTTTCACAATATTGGAACAAACACCAAGAAAAAATACATACCTTTACATGACACATTAATTCTGTAACAAGTTTTGCTTTCTGAGTATTTATGGCTCTGATCTTTAGTTTTGCCTGTTGAGATTCCTTTTCTAGGTTGATAGGATTTTGTTCCAGCTGTCTTATACTACAGAAGGAACCAATATGCAATTAATCGTGATTAAAATAAATTGCAGAAAAATACCAAAATTCTTAATCTCATATGTCATGAACCAAGAGCTGGCAAGAATAAGAATTTGCAATTCTAAACATTTTGAATACATCAGAGGCATTTTCTATCCAAGCATCCTAAGAAAGTTAAAATATCAAAAAATCATAATTAGAGACATTTTAATTTTGTTTGCTAATGGTATCACTGAGAAATCATACGCTTTCTATAAATTTCAGACTTAAAAAATCACTGCAAACATTGACATTCATTTACTGCTGCTACTTTCTTGAAACAATACAGCACAGGAGAGTTAAGGAGGCTTGCTTAATTCTCACTACACATTCTAAGAAAAAACTCTGCCCCCAGCTTTCCTAATTTACTGCAGAAAAGCAGAGTTTTCATTCCTTTTAAATTCCCCAAAGCACAAAATTACAAAGAACTTTAAGAGAAGAGTACACATAGCTGCAAAACATTTTGAGATCTTCAAAAAACACCAAGCCAGCCCAAAGAACAATCCAAAAAACTTTAAAACCATCTTCCCATTTTGATCCCTCGAAAAATGCTGGAACAAGTACACTTTGAAAACATTTCTAGGAGCATGAGGAAGATGGTGATCAGGAATGGTCAGCAAGCCTTTACCAAGGGCACACAGCTGACCAACCTGATTGTCTCTCATACGCAGAGGTATAAGCAAGTGTTTGTTCTATAGCAAAGACCATGCCAGACTAGCTGGCAACTAAATGAAGTTGTCTGGGAGCCAAGGGTATGCTTCTCACTCTAAAGGAGACCACAGAAGCTGGGTATCAGACAGGACTGATAAGAACACCTTGAAGTTCAGCACGAAGTGGAAAGCTGAGGTACAACTTCAAGCAGCCTGGTTTCAGTGGGTTTCTATGTTCAGATGCCAGCAACTGGGGAGACTGTATCTAGGGGTAGCTACTTGTCTGAGCCCAGCTGCTGATGGGATCTATTCTGCAAATACGTATTCATTTAAGTCTCATTAAGAAACTTCTGCTCTGCTTGTATGGAACACAGTACTGGTGCTGTCTGTGTTTATGTGCATGCTGTTATCTGTCTGCTTGAGCTACGCTGCTCACCATGTATAAATAAGCACATACCTATGTACAGCAAATACATTCTGAACCTCACTAGCAGGTGGACATAGAAACATTAAGTTACATAAGCTTCACACTTGTCTTGGTCTGGCTTGGATCAATTCCCCTAGCATTTAATGCTGTCTCCGACAGCAATGCTGTACTCAAGTTTGGAAACAGCAGTCTGGATGTGTGAATGACCAGACTTAAAAAAAAAGAGAAAAGAAGTGGCAGAGTGATGAGAGGCTTAGGGTCATGATTATCGTGCTGTTTTCTGTCTGGAAGCCAGCATCAAGTTGGGTACAACAGAAGTCTGTCACAAGAGCTATCCTGTTTGAAATTTCTGCCAGTAACCTGGTGGAACAGAGGAATAGAAGGCACTCCTGTCACGTTTTCAGAAAACATTAAGTTGCAGGGAAGCAGCCTGTTTGTTCTTCAGAGGGACCTGATGAGGCTGGAGGAAGAGCGGACAAAAAGCTGATCAGATTCTGCAAGGCCAAGTTCTAAGTCCTCTCCCTGGAAGAAAGCGATCATAGCAATAACACACGTTTGACAGTAAACTGAGCATAAGCCAGCAGCGTGCCCTGCCTGCAGGAGCAAGAACACAAGCAGAAGGGAGATTTTTCCTCTGTGTTCGGTATGTTGAGCACTCATTAGATCACAAGTGGTGCACTTAGTTTTGGCTACAGCAGAAGACCTATAAGAACAAGATGAGAGTGCTTAGCTTGTTCAGCCTGGAAAAGAATAGCTTCAGGAGCAACCAAAAGCAACCTCTCACCATCCATCCTCTGCAGGAAGTGATGGACTTCAAGGAATCAGGCTGTTACAAAAGACACGTACTGGAAGGATGAGAGACAGGGGACTTAAGATGAAGCAAGAGGTCCCGAGAGGATGACACTCAAATTTTCTTCCTCCAATAAAAACAAACATCTTGTGCAGCCTCCACAAATGTTTTCAGTTTTGAAAGGACAGTCTCCAGCACAGCATTAAGAATATTGACTACAGATCACCTCAAGATCCCTCTGCAACCTTAATGATTCTTATAACTTACCTTTAAAATTATACACAGTTTTGTTTAGGTAATCACTTCAATTAGAAACATGAATATTTACAAAGTTATATTCAATGCAAGGCATTATTTAACTCACTTGCATCTCTAGTGCAAATATGCACAATATGCAAGAAGATCTGTAAAATCCTTGTCCGTCATCGTGTAAGAACTGCTTCCCTTTTGCAAAATTAAAGAGTGCAATTATTTTCTTCCAAAGAGAACAATTTAATCAGTATTTGCTCAGTTGGAGGATCTACCTCCTGCCTTCAAGATGCATTCTGTGTTCTAGTTGAACACCATGACAATAAATGAATATGTATGTACGTAAGTAGGACACCTGAGATCAAAACCTGGCTTTGGGGCTAAGCTCACATCCAGTTTTAAGGATAGCACACTGCACAGCTACTTGGCTACTGTGACTGTACAGCAGTTGGCTCTGGTCCCGCAGGAACAACCTACAGCCCTATGGCCATGTTGGTGTTTTTGAACACTTTTTTCAGTTTAATGCACCAGCTGTAACACAAGAGCTATGCAGGCAAGCAGAAAAATTTAATGCCTTCTTTGCCTTTGTCTTCAACACTGATGATGAGCTCCAGTAACCCAGGTGCCCCAACTTGAAGGACTGTGGCTATGGCAAGGATCAATTTTCCCCGCCAGCTCTGAACTTGAGCAGAACTTGCTGCTTCACCCTGATCCAGATAAATTCATGGAATCCAAGTGGATTCTTCCCAAGGGACTTAGAGGGATCATCAAAGTCATTGTGAGACTTCTCTCAAGCATTTTTCAAGAATCTTGGGAATCTAGAGAGGATTGAAACTGACTGGAAGCTGGCAAATACTGTTCCAATTTTCAAGAAGGATAAGAAGAGATACCCTGGTAATTACAGACTAGGTAATGCAGGTAATTATGTCAGTCTCTGTTCAGTGTTGGTTTAAGTTATGAAAAAAATCATGTACACTGACTACTGCCCTATAAGCGTGGTTGTTCAGCCACTTGTCGACCCACCTTACTGTATGCCCATCCAATCCATGTATCAACAGTCTATGAGAATCTTACAGGGAGAGGAAGACATTATTTTCATCCATGAGTTTGCTCATTTCATTAAAGAAGTTTAGCATAGTGATCACTCCTTGGAGAATCTACTCTAATTGTGATGATCTTCTTCTCCCTCATTTGCCTGGAAATGGTCCCCAAGGATTAAGGTAGAGCTCACTGTCCTATACTTCCCTGGGTCCCCATGCTTCGTGCAGATAGAAGTGTCATTTGTTTTTCCAGTCTCCGGACATTTCTTTAACTGCTATGATCAACCAAAGACTGAGAGTGGACCTGCAAATACATCTGCCAGCACCCTCATCACTCATGGGCACACTGCATAACATTAGGGCTCATGTATTCTGTGACCTGATTCTCTTTCATCAAGTGTGCCTTTTCCTTGCTTCAGACTTTCACTCTGGTCTCTGAGACCTGACATTCCTGAAGGTCAATCATGATGGTAAAGACTGAGGCAAAGAAGGTATTTAGTACCTCAGCCGTACAATCTACTAGGTACCCTGGACTCTCATTTCATTCAGCAGTGGGCCCATGCCACCTTGTTGTCTGATGTACTTGTAAAAGCCTCTACTTTGCACTTTGAGATCTCTAGCCAGAATCAATTCTATCTGAGGTTCAGCATTCCTAATTGCTTCCCCATATGCTCACAAAGTATCTCTGTATTCTTCCTAGGTTACCCATCCTTACTTCCACTCTCTCCATGCTTCCTTTTTGTATGAGGGCTGCTACAGAAAGAATGACTCCTAGTTTATTACACTGGACTGTGACATCAAAGGCAGATATTGTTGGCATGGCAGTGGAGGTTGAAACCCCTCCCCAACAATCCATTATATTTTGACATACAGCAGCAGTGAGTGAGGCAGTCTGACAAAACAGTATCTGATGTGGAAGCGCAAATGAAGCAAAGAGATGCAACTGAATTCCTCCAGGCTGACAAAACTGCACCCACTGACATTCACTGACGCAGTGGATGTTGGCACAGGAAGATAGAGAATTGTATGTTCCAGCAGTGGCAACAGTGACATGAAAGACAAGGCACATTTCAGACAGCCATGCAGATTTTTATGAACACAGCATGTAGGCTCTCGTGCACTGCTGGCAAAGATGTATAACTAACGCTACGTATAACCAACAACTATGTTGGAAAATAGTGTTTTGTAGCTGAGAATTTGCTCTGACAGTGTTCTGCTGTTTGTATCTGCTGTATTTATAATATAATATGTGCATGTTAGCCAGCTTTCTTGGGCTCCTTTTCCTCCCCCCAGTGCCTTATTCCATAGGACACTAACAAGTAGATCCTTGAAAAGGCCCAAGTCTGCCCTCTCAAAGCACTGTGAACTTGCTACTTGCCATCTTTTCTCCCCTAAGTATCCTGAACTCCACTACTCTTTGTAATCAAGCTGCCTTTGACCTTCATACCACCAAGATTCCTTGCGTACCAAGATGAGTATTACCAAGATAGAAAGCTTTGGTAACTAAGTAAATCAGTGCAATGACTTCTCAGTGGAATCCTATGATACTATAAAAGGAAAGTACTTAGGATATTTTTATATGGCATTTTAACTACTACTCCCTTTCTAAGCATCCTCTTGGTCTACCTATATCTGACACCTAAGTACTGGTTACGTTTTTAGGTTAAAAGCACATTACAATAATAACAACTGTATACTGGCTTCCTATTAAAACTGTTCCTATTTCATGTATAGGATTGTTTCCTACCTATCGTATTTCACAGCAATTTTTGATTCCAGCTGTTTCCTTCTGCTTCCCCTCTCCAACAGCTCCTTCTTCTGTTGCCGTAGCTCATTGTCCCTGCATTCCAGATGCTTCTGTTTCTCACACAATGTCATTAACTGCTTATCTAATGACTGTAATACATGCTTGATACTCTGAAATAAGAGAAAACACATTAGTATTCTTACCATAAACCTATTACACAGATACATGCAAACTGGCTACATATACTGCACAACAGTAGCTGATATCATACGTAACTAAAGTAAATTCCTACCTGCTGCTGATTTTCCAGCTGTCTTCTTTCATCTGTACCCACAGAATAATTGAGAAACTGAGCTGGTCTAAGACACACATTAGTAGAAAAGGTTAATTTTGTATACATGGATATTCTAATGGTATATTTTTCTTCTGCTGTGTAAATTTGCTTAAGTTTAGTTTCTTTTATGACCTAAAAAAAAAAAAGAAAGAAAAAAACCCACAAAAATTTTAATCATACCGAAGTGTTATTTAAGGCAATGTTTTCAGAGAGAGGAATAAACTAGCTAAAATCTAAAGTAAAGAAGATCAACTCATGCAAAATTCTGATTTGTTAGCAAGCCTTTGTTAACAAGCCATCATATAATTTGATCAGTCAGCAAAGAAGTGCTAGGATATCACAACATAGCCTATGTTACCACTACCAATTAAACATCTTCCGATTATTCTGACACATAGACTGCTTCTAATATATTACATTTTTTTTACATACTTCTCTAGCAATGTTATATAAATGTGCCTTGATAAAGCCTGTTAATATTTGTATACTTGTGTATTTATTCACTCCATCGTAAACAAGGCTCATTCTGTAACTGCATGAAAATTTAGCTGGTATACCTGAAAAGCAAAAGCATGTAAGAAATAGAGGATAGGGTGAGCTGTAAAGCATCAATTTCAGTTAAGAAAACATCTGTGTGAAAACGTTTGAGGTATAAAAGTATTTGAATTACTGATCTTAAATTACTCACATTGAACAGGATACAACAAATAACCAAATGTTTATCATAATGTAAGGCAATGCAGTATTTAAAAAGCATGAAGTATTTAGAAAATCAGTAATAGCAAAGACTCCATGAGACAAAATAAATTTGACCACTTTTTTTTTTTTTCTTCAGACTATATAAAAAAGCACCTGAAACATTGTTTATTTGGTTTCTAGACAATGAAAATCATTTATTTTCCTTTACCTTACAGCCACATCACAGTTGACAATATTTTTGTATAACACCTTTTCTATGTGCTCAGCTCTACTAAAAATAATGTGCTTTTAAACTAAAACTTTATCTGAGACACATGAAACAAAATCAGAAGTAATAAAAGCAGAAAGAAGAAGAACTTCTCACAGCTTGACAGAATATGCTAAGAGCAACACATTATAAATACTGGCTTAGCTCTGCCCTCCTATCAGCTATTTTCTTACTCACTCTTCATGGAGCTCTGGAAAGGACAGAGAATATACAGAGTAAATCTGAATGGCCTATAAAATGTAATTTACAGACCTATAATACAGGTATCTGTTTCATCAGGCAATAAGCAGGAAGATGGAAGAACTGCCATTCTAAAAAAAATAGAGTGCTCAGAAAAAGGTTTTCACTTAAGACTCTCTGCAATTTTACCTTCTTCCTCATTCTCAAAGCATGAGAAACAAAAAAGTAGGACCAACAGCTATCATGACGAAAAAATATTTGTTATTCATTTAAAAAGTTTATTCCATGAGGTTATCAAAAATGCAACTCTCATGTTCTCAGCTCAAGGAAGTGCTCTTCTACTTGGAGAGTTCATTTGTTGTAAAAAGGTACAAAACAGATATCAAGTAAGGACTAAAGCTGAAAACAGTCATGTATGTTACCTATTATAATCCATCAACGATAAGCTTGGAAGACTACATGAAAGAGTAAAGTAGGGAAATGATTCTCTGTTGGAACTCTTAGCTTGTATCTAAGAATTCAAAAGCTTTTTATGATATTCATCGTTATCAATTTTATCTGAAATTATAAACCAGTAGTGGCCATAATCTGAACATCTGATGTAGAAAAATCATGAAGCAGCTTCCTAATCATTGCTTTAAACATTTCATGGGGCAGGGTGACTTGAATGGGACCCAGGTGAAACTCATTTAACTTTCTGGAAAGTCGTAAGTGGACTGGATTTGTTATGTCTTGCAGCATGTTTGTGTAACACAAACCATTCTCACTTCTGAACTCCAAATAGAAAGAAAATCCACATCATCTTGCCAAAGAATTTCAGAAGTAAGTCTGTAGTTGACAGCTGTTTTTGTGCTATTCAGTACATCTCACCCTTTCAATCATGTTTCTGGTCTTCTCAGTTCCCACAGGGACTTCATGAACATGATACTGGGAGCAAAGGTAGCTCATCACAGGAAGAGGAGCATCAAACAACTCTCGTAAATATGAGAAGAATCCATATCGGCTGAAGAAGGGAAAGAAAAAGAAAAAAAGCAAGCATCACAAAATCTGGAGAACAAGTAAGGTGAAGTCAGTGAAGGGTCAGAAAAGTCCCACTAACCCTGAACTGAACTGGTAAGAATTCAATTTGCATGGAAAATACCAAGATCACAGAACAACAGAATGGCTTCAGATGGAAGGGTCGTTAACGATCACCCATTTCCAGCCACGTTATCTGGGGCAGGGCCGCCATCTGCCATATCAGGCTACCTGGGGCTCATCCAACCTGGCCTTGACCACCTCCAGGAATGGGACCATCCACAGGTTTTCTGGGCTACCGGCTCCACAGCCTTCACTAAAGACGTTCCTCATAACATCTAACTGAAATTTCCCTTCTTTTACTTTAAAACTGTTCCCTTTTGTTCTATTACTATTAGACAGTCGAAAAAGTCATTCTCCATTTTTTTATAAGTTCTCTTTATATACTGAATGAAGCTGCAACAAAAGCCTGAATAACGGCTACAATAAGGTCTCCCCAGAACTTGGCGGAGCAAGCCAAGCTTCCTCAGCCTTTCTTCGTAAGAGAAGGTAATACATAGCAAATACATGGAAACATTACATTTAGAACCCTTCCCACCAAAATAATCTGATACGTACTGTATTTCTTCAATAGGTGTTGATGGTAAGGTTTCAGCACACGATTTATCAGGTGCACACACAGCATTCACTCTCAGTTTCTGACGATCACGCAACTAAACACAGATTATATTACTTAGTCAAAACAAGCAGAAAAAATTACTATATGAAGATCATGTATTATTCTGAAGAATTCTGACTTATTTTAAAGTAACTGACTAATTTTAAACTGATTTAACTTATGGAAGAGCCCACAAAAATCTACTCCTCTTCAGGCAGGACTGAAATCTCCAAAAGCTTATCTCTGTACACAGAAATACAATGCATTAGTAATAAAAGAACTGTTCAAATTTTAGAGCAAGGTGCTCAATCTTAATAGCTAAGCTGGGTGCCAATCTGTACAGATGTAATAAGAAGCCCTCTCCTCCTGGCTCCATTCTGCACGTACATCCATTTTGCACAGACAATGGCAGATAACAGGCATAAGGCTGTAAAAAGCTTCTCATCTTAATGGAACAGAGATGATTGAGTACACACATGAAAGACCAGCTCAGCTGGTTAAAGTAACCCAGAACCTCAAATAACAACTCACTTATGTAAAAATGACTAGCTTCTGAGAAGGATGTACATGCCTTCAAAAATTGCTAAATTGTTTATCATTAATCAAAGTACTCTAAGGAGAGCAGCTGAGAAGCACTATGATAGTTAATGTCCTGTCCTGTGGTTTTTTTCTATTTCATCTGGCTCTCAATGGGAGCAATTACCCCACCACTCCAGGAATGAGCAGCATTAGGAAAATAATTAGCCTGATTTGTTACTTGGACCATTGCCTTCTCAAGAAAGATGTACTCTCACCCATTTCGACAAGAGGCACTAGAAATCCTTGGTACTGCATTAGCAGCATTCTGCTCTTTCCATTTCCTTGTACTAAGTACTTTTTCCCCCTCCTCAATGATTACAACCTTGTCAAAGAAGACAAAAGCTTTTTCTAGCAATAAATATTTTCCTAGCACTCCTGCAACCCTCCACCTGGCCCAGGCTTTGAAAAATATTACTTATTATTTACTCCAGACAGAAGTCTTTGAACACTCCGTTTAAGCTTTTCTACTGATCTAACCAAACAAAAAACAATAAATACAGACTTATCATCCCTCTACTAATTTGAGAAGTGTATAATCAAACAAAGTTTATGTTATGTTTTGACAGTTTCCAGACAGAATGTGTTGAAAAAGGACCTCAACTGAAGAGCTGCTGCAACCAGCAGAAAAAGTAGATGGATTTTACTATCCAACATGGTACACAGAGGAAAGCTGACATATTTTCCGCTAAAGGCTCCAGATCCTGAATTTAATCATGCTGGGAAACACATATGGAGTTTCATGCCTCTCCTTTCTTCACGCTCCAGACTAACTGAAGTGTCCAGATGTCTTCAAGGGTATGTCAAGCTAAAAAAACCACACTGCTGCTTTATGTAGCTACAACTAAAATGGTAGTAAACTCCAAAGTACGTGGCTACTAAATCAATATTTCATCAGTTTTTAAAATTAATGCCTACTTGCCTCCACAAGAAACAGTTCCATATCTTCTTGACTCTCAAAAACGAAAGCCTTCATGTCATTGGTTGAAATATGATTTTCAACATATTTGGCATGCTTATTGTCTTTGACATTGATCTGCTCATATGAAAAAAAAAAGGAAAAGGTAATAATGATTTAACACAATTAACAATCCTTCCCCTGCACACTATAGTCAGATGATATCCAACAATTATGATTGTTAATGAAAATAAAGTCAACATTTAAACACATGTCTTCTAAGGCATACTCCCAATCTTTATGCAGTCAGTTCTCTCTGGAGGGAATCTACACTACACCAGATGCACAGGCAGCGGAAGCAGGAACGGTAATCTGGGAAGATTATAAGGATGCTGCTAGGCTGCGTAGGGCATGGTGTCCAGAAAGTCAAGGCCCAACTGGAACTAAACTTGACAAGGGGATCAAAGAAGTATAGGAAAGGCTTCTATAGGTAATTCAACTGGAAAAGGAAAGTCCAGGAGGTCACACCTCCCTCATGTGTAATAAAGGCAGCCTTTTAACAACAAACAAGGAGAAACTTTAGTCTTCACTGTAAACTGCTCTAAACACAGTCCTTGAGTAGATGGTCCAGGAGATAGGAACTAGGGAAGAAAAGCCCCTCCCACTGCAAGCAAAGATCAGGTTCGTGATCACCTGGGGAACCTGAACATCTGTAAGTCTATGGGTCCTGATGAGATGCATCCCAGAGTCCTGAGTGAACTGGCTGACACAGACACCAAGCCAAACTTAATGGTACCTGAAAAAGTCATGGCAGTCAGAGGAAGTTCCCGGAAAAAAGGCAGTATCACACCCATTTTTAAAAAGGTTAGGAAGAATGACTCAGGGAACTACCAACCTCTTAGCCTCTCCTCTATGCTGGGGAAGATCATGCAGAGGATCCTCCTGGAAGCTATGCTAAGGCATAAGGAAGAGACTGAGGCAATATGGGACAATCAGCATGACTTCACCAAGAGTAAGTGCTGCCTGACCAACCTTGTGGCTTTCAATGATGGCATAACTGCATCAGCAAGCAAGGGAAGAGACACCTGGATTTCAACAAGGCCTTTGGCACAGTCCCCAACAACATCCTTCTCTCCGAATAGGAAAGATGGATTTGATGGATGGTTTGATGGACAAGGAATCGAGTGCATAATCATACCCACAGGATAGTGGTCAATGGCTCAATGTCCAAATGAACATCGGTGACAAGTGGTGTCCCTGTCAGTACAGGGTGTCAGTACAGGGACTAATGAATTTTAATATCCTCATCAATGACATTGACAATGGAATCAAGTTTGTAGACGACAGCAAAATGTGTGGTGCAGTCGACAGGTCCAAGGGACAGGATGCCACCCAGAGAGAGCTAATCAGGCTGAGCAATGGGCCCTGTTGAACTTCATAAGGTTCAACAAATCCAAGTGCAAAGGCTTGGCAGCTAGGTTGTGGCAACTCCCACTATCAGTTAAGGGACAAAAGAACATAGCATAGCTCTGCCAAAAAGGATGTGGGGGTACCAGTGGATGGCAAGATGTATGAGACAGCAACATGCCCTCGTAGCCCAGAAGCCAACTGTATCCTGGGCTGCATCAAAAGAAGCACAGTCAGCAGGTCAAGGGAGATGATTCTGCCCTTTTACACTGACAAGACCTCACCTGGATTACAGACTGAATCCAGATGTGGAGTACAGGAGAGATAACCTGTTACAGAGTGACCAGAGGAGACACACAGAAACGCACAAGAGATGGACCACCTTCCCACTGAGAAGAGGCTGAGAGAGTCGGGGCTGTTCAGTCTGGAGAAGAAGTGGCTCCAGAGAAATCCAATAGCAGCCTTTCAGCATCTGAAGTCTAAAAGGTGGCCTACAAGAAAGAAGTGGACAAGCTTTTTAGCAGAGCCTGCTGTAAGAGGACAAGGGGAAATTATGTCAAATTAAAAGACCGAAGATTTGGATTGGATCAGGAAGAAAGGTCTTGCAGTACAGACGGCGAGACTCTGGAACAGGTTGCCAGAGAGGTGGTTCAACAAGACCAAGTGCTCAGTCCTGTTCTTTGGCCACAACAACCCCAGGCAACACTACAGGTTTTGGGTAGAGTAGCTGGAAGACAGTGTTGAGGAAAAAGAACTGGGAGTGTTCATTGATGCTCGGCTGAACATGAGCCATCACTGTGCTTAGGTGACCAAGGTCAACGGCGTCCTGGCTTGTATCAGAAATAGGGGTCATCTCTCTCTACTCAGCTCTAGTGAGGCCACACCCCAAATACTGTGTTCTGTTTCAGGCCCCCCACTGACAAAAAAGGGTTAGAAGGGTTGTAAGGAGGATCCGGGGAACTACAGGCCTGTTAACCTGACCTCAGTGCCAGGGAAGGTTATGGAGCAGACTGTCTTGAGGGAGATCATGTGACATGTGTGGGACAAGCAGGGAATTAGGCCTAGCCAGCATCAGTTCATGAAGGGCAGGTCCTGCTTGACCAAACTGATCTCCTTCTATGACCTAGTTCTACAATCTACTCATCTGGTAGACGAGGGAAAGGCTGTTGATGTAGTCTACCTAGACTTCAGCAAAGCCATTGGCACTGTCTCCCACAGCATTCTCCTGCAGAAGCTGGCAGCCCGTGGCTTGGACAGATACGCTCTTGGCTGGATTAGGAAATGGCTGGAAGGCTGGGCCCAGAAAGTGGTGGTGAATGGAGCTAAATCCAGCTGGTGACCGGTGACAAGTGGTGTTCCCCAGGGGTTGGTGCTGGGGCCTGTCCTCTTCCATATCTTTATTGATGACCTGGAAGAGGGCATTGAGTGCACTCTCAGTAGGTTTGCGGATGACACCAAGTTGGCTGGAAGTGTGGATTTGCCTGGGGGTGGCGAGGCCATACAGAGGGATCTGGACAGGCTGGATGGCTGAGCTGAAGCCAGTGGGATGAGGCTCAACAGGATCAAATGCCGGGTCCTGCGCTTTGGCCACAACAACCCCAGGCGACGCTACAGGCGTGGGGCAGAGTGGGAAGACTGCGTAGAGTAAATGGACCTGGGGGTATTGATTGATGCTCGGCTGAACATGAGCCAGCAGTGTGCCCAGGTGGCCAGGAAGGCCAATGGCATCCTGAACCACATCAGAAACAGCGTTGCAAGCAGGAATGGGGAAGTGATTGTGCCCCTGTACTCAGCTCCGGTAGCGGCCTCACTCTGACGGTGAGGCCACACATTGAGTACTGTGTCCAGTTGTGGGCCCCTCGCTGCAAGAAAGACACTGAGGCACTGGAGTGGGTTCAAAGAAGGGCAACAGGGCTGGTGAGGGCTCTGGAGCACAGTCCTTATGAAGAGAGGCTGAAGGAGCTGGGAATGTTCAGTCTGGAGAAGAGGCAGCTCAGGGGACACCTTATTGCTCTCTATAACTACCTGAAGGGAGGTTGTAGTGAGCTGGGGATTGGCCTCTTCTCTCATGTAACTGGTGATAAGAGTAGAAGGAATGGCGTCACACTGCGCCAGGGGAGATGTAGGCTGGATGTTAGGAAATACTATTTTTCTAAAGGAGTGGTCAGGCACTGGAATGGGCTGCCCAGGGAGGTAGTGGAGTCACCGACCCTGGAGATGTTCAAGGAATGTTTGGATTTTGTGTTGAGTGATATGGTTTAGTGAGAACTATTAGTGATTGGTGGATGGTTGGACTGGATGATCTTGTAGGTCTTTTCCAACCTTGGTGTTTCTGTGATTCTGTGAAGAAAGACATCGAGGCCCTGAAGCGTGTCCAGAAAAGCGCAACAAATCTGAAGAGAGGTCTGGAGAACAAGTTTTAAAAGGAATGACTGAGGGAACTGGGATTGCTTAGTCTGGAGAAGAGGAGGCTTGGAGAGACCTCATTGTTCTACAACTTTCTGAAAAGAGGTTGTGATGAGCAGGTGGTCAGTCTGTTCTCCTGCATAACTAGTGACAGGACTACAGAGAATGGCCTCAAGTTGCACCAGAGGAAATTTGAACTGGATATTAGGAAAAATTTCTTCTACAAAAGAGTGGTCAGGTGCTCCAACAGCCTGCCAGAGAAAGGTAGTTGAGCCACTGTGCCTGGAGGTGTTCAAGAAACATTCAGAAGTGGTGCTAAGGATATGGTTTAGTGGGAAAGGATGGTAGGAGGACGGTTGGATGAGATGATCTAGGTCTTATCCAACCTTGGTGATTCTATGTGGTGGATGTCTTATCTCTGGAGACATTCCAAAGGTCAGGCTGGATCAGGCTTTCAGCAACTTGATCTAACTGTAGATATCCCTATTCATTGCGGGGGGAGTTGGACCAGACGACGTTTACAGGTGCCTTCCAACTTAAACAATTATATGATTCATTGAAACACTGGCCTGGCAAAGAGCACACTCAGGACCCTGGAATTCAGAAGAGCAAAATTCTAACTGCGTAAGGAATTACTGGATGGGATCCCCTGGGAAACTCATCAAGGACAAAGGAACAGAACAGAGCTGGCAGCTACATAAGGATACTTTTTCGACAGCACAAGAACTTTCCATATCCCAGCATAAGAAATCAAGTAAGAGAGGCAGGAAACCAACTAACCAAGGACCTGATGGTTAAACTGAGCAGGCAGTATAAGCATGGATAAGCAGCCTAAAAAGAATACAGGGATGTGGTCCAGACACATAGAGATAGAATTAGGAAAGTCAAGGCAAGATTGAACTGAACTTGGCAAGAGACGTGAAAACAAAAAAGGGTTCTACAGGTATGTTGGTCAGAAGAGGCAGGCCAAGGAGAGTGTACCTTCTCTGATATACAAGAAGGGAGAATTACCTTCAGCAGGCATGGATGAAGACCAACGTACTGAAGTTCTTTTCCTTGCCCTTTTTTGGTAATTAGCCTTCCCATGTCTCTCATGTCCCCAAAACCTCTAACTGGGGCTGGCAGAGCAAGATTCCTCCCACTCTCAGAGAAGAACAAGTTCAAGACCACATCGTACACACTGTACAATCCTGTAGGACATGCATCCCAAGATATTGACACTGTCTCCCACAGTATCCCTCTAGTGAAGCTCAGGAATTGTGGGATAGGTATGTGGACAGTTTCACTCAAGAGGGAAGAACTTCTCTACTTAAGATTGTGACAGAGCACTGGAACAAGCTGCCCAGAGAAGTTGTGGAGTCTCCTTTTCTGGAAAGATTCAAAACCCACCAGGAAGCTTTTCTGTGCAACGTATGGTAGGAAACCTGCTTAAGAGGTGAGTTGGACTTGATTTCCAGAAGTCTCTTCCGATCCTGTGAAGGAACTAGTATACATGGTTGCCAAGCCACTCTCCATCAAATCTGAAAAGGCACAGCTGTCAGAGTTAGTCCATGGTGATTGGAAAATGAGAAACATCACTCCCATATTAAAGAGAGAAAGAAAGACTCAAGTAACTACATATCAGTGAGCCTGGGAAGATAATAGAACAAACCTTCCTGAAAAGAATAATGAGACAAATGCAAGAAGAGGAGATGATCCAACACAGCCAGCACAGCTTCGTCAAGGAAAGATGATGTGCCTCACCAATCTAGTGGCAGCTTTCAATGGTAGGATGATGGCATCAATGAAGTCAACTGATGTCACCTTCCTGGACTTCTGCAATGCCTTTGACACAGTCCTACACCACATCCTTATCTCTAAATCAGAAAGACATGGATTTTAAGGCTTGACTTTTAGGCAGATAAGGAATTAGTCCAATGGGTGCAGCCATAAGGTTGTAGTCAAATGGCTCCACGTCCAGGTCGAAGCTGGCCACAAGTGGTATCCCTCAGGGGTCTGTCTTGAGACCAGTGCTCTTAAACACCTTAATCAAGGACCTAGACGGTGGAATCAAGTGCACTCTCAGCAAGATTGCAGATAACACTAAGCTGACTGGTGCAGCTGCTATAACAGAAGGAAGCAGTGCAGCCTGCTACAACAGAAGGAAGCAGTACCATCCACAGGGAACTGGACAAGCTTGAAAAATGGGCTCATGTCAAACTAACCAGGTTCAACCAGGCTGGCTTGAGGTGCTTCAACTGGGTCATGATCATCTCAGATACGTGTACAGACTAGGAGAAGAACTCACTGAAAGCAGCCCTGTAGAGAAGAATTTGGGGGGTTCTGGCAGACAAAAAGCTGGACAGGAGCCAGCAGTGTGCACTTGCAGGCCCAAAGACCAACTGAATTCTTGGATGAATCAAAGGCCAGTAGTGCAAGACGTGATTTTGTTCTGCCCTCATGAGGCTCCACCCAGAGCAGCATCCTGGTATGGGGCCCCCAGTACAAGGCAGACGTGGACTTGGTGGAACAGGTCCAGAGGAAGGCCACGAACACAATCAGAGGGCAGGAGCACCTCCCCTACTAAGAAAGGCTGAAGGTATCTGGGCTTGTTCAGCCTGGGGAGATACCTCCAGGGATACCTCATTGTGACCTTCCAGCACCAAAAGTGAGGTTATAAAATAGAGAGAATGACATTTTACATGGCCTGATAGTGATGGGACAAAAGAGAACAGTCTTAAACTAAAAGAAGGGAGACTTTAGGTTAGATGTTAGAAGGAAGTTTTTTACTCAGAGTAGAATAGCCTTCCCACAGAGAGGATGTGGACACCCCATCCCTGTAGGTACTCAAGAGCAGAGAGGGAAGCTTCTTATAGTATTAACATTTCATTCAGGTATAATTCTGCCGTAACTCACAAGTATTAAAGATTTAATGTCTAAATAAACAAAGACAAAAATCACAAAGAATTACATAATTAAGTAAGTTTAAGACAGAATCACACAGAACCACACAACTTAATAATCTCAATATGGCCACAGGCTGGGCAACATATCAGCAGTTCAAAAACTAGACTATATAGACAGATGAGTCTATACCATATCACAGAACACACATTCAGACATTACCGGATGTTAAACAGGTTAACAAGCCCATGAAGTAAAAGTAAGGGCCATGTAATTATGTTATTTGCAAAAATAATGTGACAAGATCTTACTGAAAGAATTTGAAGATCAGGTACCAACAAGAGGGAATTACTGTGATTTTTCTTATTTTCTACTAAGTAAAAGCCATTTTGAATACCTTTAACGCATACAAAAAGCAGAAGAACTGGCATACAAATACTCACTATTCAATACATTCAGACTGTAACAATATACTACTAAAATAAGTTGGGAATTCAGAAACAGAGGTGAAGAATGCAGTGGGTTTCCTCATCTTCTTGACATTTCAAGAAATTCAAGATTGCTGATAAACAGGTGAGGGAATGCAGAAGAAAACCATTAGGATCTTTCAAAACTTAGTCCTTCCATTTTTATCTAACACCACATCTGTCAAAACGACACACTAGGAATAGATACTTCCTCTGCCTGTAGCTGGTTTTGAAAGACAATATGAACAGCTTAAGAGTGCAATGTTATGTTTCAACATCTGCTGAGCAGGTTGTTCTATAAGATGACTACTACTATACTTTTAAAGACGACACTGAAATCTAAGTATTTGAATGTACACTGGAAGAAATCTGCAGTGGGAATCTCAGAAGAGGATCTCTTAGTGGGGGGTAGGAGGAAAGGAATCAACTCACGCTACTCAAAAGTTGACTATTATTAAATTGCAGAGTGAAAAGTACAAGTAGTTCATAATATTAGTGTACACTGAATGTAACTGGCACTTTAAGGCATTTTGAAAGTTCTGAAGTCATTCTTAAAGCCTCACCAGGATAAAGAAATAGAAATTGTATAAATTAAATATGAATAGTTTAGTGAAATACACAAATTTTCTTACTGTAAGCATCATAGGTTCACAAACTTCTTTTTTGAACTTGTGTTTGTTCTTTCTTAGCCACATAAGAGCAGAGTGCGTGTCTCGGAATCTCCTTTGAAGAGCCTCTTCCTTCATTTTAATTATATTATTAAGTTGTCCAATGCGATCAATTATTCCTGTAATTTAAAACAGTTCTTAAACAGTACACATTACAATTAGTATTATCCAATACTTATTGACTATGTAACTACAGCAATAAGGCTGTCAGGAAATCGTGAGAAATAAAAGTTTATCTTCCCACTAATTCTAAAGGAATCTGAAGAATTACTCAAGCTTACATTCTAGAATAAAATGACTTCTTCAAAGCATAAGGAAATGTGTGGTAGCACACTATTTAGTTCAAGAACACAGGAATTCAGCTCCTGGCTCCACAAGGACCACTCAAAATTCAAACCTTATGTCTGAGTGCTTATCAAACTCCAGTAGGTTCAGTACCATAAGCACTTCCCTCTTCCAGTGCCTGATAACTCTATGGTGAAGAACCTTCTTCTAATACTCTGCTCTGATTGTCTCATGATAGTGCTTTGTGCTATTCCCTTGGGTCCTGTCACTGTCACCAGAGAGAAGAAATCCGTGTATGCCCCTCAAATCCTCTCGCAAGGAAGCTGCAGGCTGCCATAAGGCCTTCCCTCAGTCTCCTCTTCTCTGGGCTAAACAAACCAAGTGACCTTCGTGACTCTTCATACATCTTGCCTTCTAGATCCTTCATCATCTTTGTAACATTTATTTGGGCACTAATAATTTTATGTCCTTAATGCTTTACCTTCATATTTAGAAACAGTAATACTGGAAAGAGGCAATGGGACTAGCAACATGAAATTTCTGAGTATTATTTCATGTTTGCAGAGAAATGAATGTGTCACAGTAGACTAAGAAAGCATTTGCTACTGATAAAAAAAAGAGATTAAATGCCTTCTAGGCCCCTTGAAGTAAAATACATAGTCTCTCCCTACGCAATTTGAAAGGAGTTTACTATTATTAAGATTAGTCCAAGTTTGTCTAAAAAGGACAAGCTAGCATATATATACTGTCAAATATATAATTTTAAGCATAATTTTAACCATATCCTCAAAGCAAACTTTTTTCATCTTGCAAGTACACACACCCTCACTGACAAATATCCACTTGTTCTTCCTAATTTTAAAAATTTTTGTGTTACTTTTAATAAATCAGACAAGAGGACTAATCATGTAATGCATTCTACAATGAAGGCTTGGTGTAACATCTCAAATTACTACAGCAGAACAATAAGCAGATTTTAAAGTCTTTAAAATCCCTAAAATACATCATAAGAAAAAAAAATAACAGCATATCACTTACTTTCATTTTCCCTCTCTTGGTTTCTTTTCTCTGTTGTTACATCACCAATATCACTGTCAATATTTGCCCTTTCTTCCTGTACATGTTTCAGCTCATTGTTAACAGTATCAATTTGTGGCTGAAGATTCTCACAGTCTGTCACTGTATTAAGTTCATTGTTCCATTCATCTATCATCTTATAAGCGTTTAGTATTTTCTTTTTTCTGTCCGCTTCTTCATCTTTTTTCATCCTGAGAGCTTGATTAATTTCTGAAATCTAAGAATTTTGAATATTTTCAACATTAAGGGAATTCAGTATACAAATATGACAAACAGTATGACAAATAACTCATCTACCAGTGAGATAGTTATTAAATACAGATGTAACCATACATTTAAACTGTAAGAATACATTCTAGTTCCAGTAGCCCTATGGCAGTTTAAAAGCTGATAAGATTTTATTAATACATGGAAATCATTGAGCAAAGCTAAAATAAAAACTTTTAATAATTCTTTTAAAGTCTCTTTAATTCTACACAAATGGAAGTTTAAAGCATAACACCCTCCTTAACATATCTGAAAGCCTAGATAGCATAAAGCCTACAACACGAAACTTGAACTACACAGTCGATGCCTGAGCACTTAAATGAAGAACAGTAATTCCCCTTTACAAAAGATCTTTGCTTCCTCTTGATGTACTTAGTTAAAGAGAGAATAACCCTAGACTCTCACAATGTATACTTGAGGGACTGTTTAATGCTGCGTGCACTACTGTATTACAGAGTCTGTAGCTTCTCAAGAATAACCTGTAATGCATATATAAACATATATACAATCCATTCTGAAAGTTTTTAGATTGAACTGACTTTATGTAGCATACACCTGTTAAATAGTTACAAATACTGACTAATCGATGTCTGATTCTCAGATGTGTTTTACTGCTATATTTAAGGACTAGCATTCTACCTGAATACAGCACGTACCATAGCCACTAATTAATTAATAAATAAGCAAAAATACCACCACAATTACGGTGACAAACATCAAGACTCTTACTTGCTTATCTTTCATCTCCAGTGCATCTTGCTTTTCTTTATATTTTTGAGAAACATCTTTGATTTCATCAGCCTGCATAGAAGATATTTAAATTAGATAGTAATAAAAAAGTAGAATGCTTAATTATGTATAAATACAATATTCTTTTAAATTTGATTCATTTTTGAAAACAGAACTACAAGTGAATGTATATGACTGAGAAAGGCAAACTCACCAGTTTCTTATTCTAACTTATATCTGAAACATCTACACTTTCAGCAATTTGTACAGAACTGAGTATTGGCATATAATCTGTTCCTAACTATGCAGAATCTGATACAATCTACAAATTCAGGCATGACAGAAGAAGCCTCTCAACCTAAAAAATTCCACCTGTGACGTAAAAAGTGTAACTTTCAATTTAGAAAAAGAGTCCAGTTCTTGCTGTTTAAGGATGTGACTTTATCAAGGAAAGTTTATACTTTGAACCAAATCTTAAAAGAGCAGGAAAGGCTTCAGTTACAAGCTCAAGACAGCCAAAACAGTTTGTAAAAGTCATCCTAACTCTGAAGTCCGCCATACTAATGATATAGCCTACAAAACCAGCATTACAAATTGCTGACTAATGGACAGGACAAGACAAAACAGTTGTAAGGGACCCAAAACTATTGTCAAGTACAAGTGCCTTACCACTTCAGAGCTAAGCAGAAGTTAAAGGAAGTTAAGGAAGACATTATTCCAACACCCTTATTGAAGACTGACAGGCCTGGGGCATCAATCACCTTTTTAGGAAGCCCATTCTGAAGTTTGACCACTCTCATGGTAAAGAGACATTTTCCTAATGTCTAATCCAAATCTCTCCTGGCACAGCTTTGTGTCATTCCTGTGCATCCTATCTCCAAGGAATTCCCAGGGGCAGAGCCTGGCACCTTCCCCTGCTTCTCCCATTTAGGCAGCTGCAGCAAGTCATGATGTCACTGATGCCACCTTTCAGCTTCCTCTTCTCAAGACTGGACACCTGAATTCATTATGGGTCATGCCTTCCAGGTCTTTTACCAGCTTTGGTGTCCTCTGGAGGCTTTTAAGTACCTTTTTTACATTACAGAGCCCAGAACTGGACACAGTACCTCAAAGTGAGGCCACATCCATGCAGCAGAATCATCTCTTTTAACCAGCTGGCAATGCTGTGTTTAAGGCACCCCAAAATGTGTTTTGCTTTCTTGACTATAAGGCTACACTACTGGCTCATGTCAGCACAGATGCCCTTCTGCTGGGTTGCGCTCCAGACACTTATGTACTTCTGTCTGGCACACCTGTAATCCAGGTGCTCCAATCTGCTCTAAAGGATGCCATAAATGACAGTACCCAAGACTTTACTAAAATACTGCAAGATTAGAGTCACTCCCTGTAAGAGATTATTTTTTTTATGTCATTGTCTCAAAGCTTGCTGGGGACACATGAACAAGTCCAGGCAAGTCCTGAGCAAAGGTTGTGAAATTCTTTCTCTGGAGAACTTTGATGGACAAGTCCTGGGCAAGGGCTGTGAAATCCTTTGTCTGGGGGACACAGATGGACAAGGCCAGGGGCAAGGAGAGAGAGATGAGCTGCAGCTAAATAGCTGTGAAGTGCTCCTTTGTGTGGACCTATCTCGGGACGATGGCCATCTCAGGGGGTACTCAATGACTCTTGCTCAAGGCCCACCCTTGTCACATAGGCAGGAGAACAAGGAGGATAAAAGAGGAACTGAAAACCATGAGGATAGGATTTCTGACAACAGATTCCTTATGAAGAAGAACAGAGGATTACTGACTATCAGATTCCTCACGAAGTGATGCCTGCATGTTGACATATTCCCCTGGGCCTGCTGCCTGAGCGCTGCTGCTTCCTCTGGGATTGGCTCCGCGACTGCTACTTGCCTGCTGCTCCTCCCCCCCCCCCCCCCCCTCCATCTCATCTCCCTCCTATAAATTGGATCGAGACACTCCCATCCTTTCATTCACTAGCCGAGTGATGTTACTATAGAGGGGATCAAATTTTTAAGCCAGGACTTTCCCTTCATGAGCCCATGCTGACTACATCTGATAATTACTTTGTTATTTAAGTGCCTTTTAATGGCACTCCACAACTTCACCAGGTGCAAACGTTAGACCAACAAACAGTTTCCTAGATCTATTTATGTAGTAAATGGGTATAGCTTCCAGTCAGAGGGAACCTCCCCAGATTCCTAAGAATCCTCTGGTAAATCGTTGAGGGAGGTCCAGCTACAACTTCCACTAACTCCACCCGTACTCTGGAGTGAATTCTGTCAGGTGCTGATGTAGGCACCACTGTCACCAGAGCATTAGAACAATTTAGGTTAGTAGAAACTTCTGGAAGTCATCTAGTCAGGATAGTATTATTTCATCAGGTTATTAAGACACTTGCCTGAGTCCTGAAAGCCTCCAGTGATAGACCCCATTACTTCTTTGGACAATCTCTTTCAGTATTAAAAAGCCCACGTGGTAATTACACTCTTCTCAATACCTAACCAGAACTTCCTGCACACCAAATTGCATCTGTTAACTTTTTTTTGTTTGTTTGTTTTTTGTTTTAACAAAAAGAGTAGGAGAAGGCCCATAATCTTTTTGTCTCAAAATGCTACCTGGGAAGCATAACAAGAGGGAAAGAAATAAGCGTGGCAACCTTCTGACATCTTACAGTGTCTCACTGTCATATTACATAACTTCAGTTGTCACTAAAATTAACAGGTTTAAAACATTATCACTTTTTCAAAAGTATTCAGAAAAAGCTACTAATTGCAAGTCATATTAAAAAAAAAACAAATGGCATTATAATCACACACGTTACGCTTTCACTACATATTTATCTTCTTCCCTGAATGAGTAAGGCAGGAGAGAAAGCCTGAGTAAATTACAGTGCAGGCATAATCACAGCATTCCCACTGGAAGGAATATCCTCCTACAATTCAAGTCACACTGGAAAGCTTCAATAGAGAGCACATAGAGATAATTGTGCAGAATCTTTCGCCTCTTACAAGCTAAAAGGTCACACAACTTAGAGGCCCTGACTCTGCTGCTGTTTGCATGGAGGCAAGATGGAACAACACACCTTATAGTAGGAATTCACTACAGTACAGTTCTGATTCCACAATGCTCTCTCTAAAGATCTCAAGTATCACTCTGAAGATGAATACCTCTTTCAGGAAACTGATAAGAAAACATTCATAAAACAATTCTGAAGCCCCTAAAACTCCGAGCATTATTCAAGGAACAATATAATATATATAAATTTTTAGTCATCATTATAATTTCAGTTGTCACATTTATATATGCCGACTTAATAGAACAGATTAACAACTGTACTCGTGTTTATAGTTTTCATGGTACAACCATAACACTCTGCTTTGTAGTATCAAATATTGTCAAAAATCGCAAAGCAATTGGTGCCAAAACTATTCCAGTATTCTCCCAATTTTATCATCATTTTCATTCAAAATGGGAGGATGCAATTTTCTTCAGAACCCACACGTCTCATAAGCCCGAAGCAGACAGTGTGACTCATTTTTCAATCTAACCGATTTATTGCAAGGTGTTAACACAGTGACAACAGAAATAGCCATTCTCTCCAGGTACAGTAATTTCTTCCAAAGTTTAACTCCCTTTACTTTTACACTCCTCCTTCCAGGCAAAATTTATAATGCTGGGCCTGGCTTTTCGCAAACAAAATGCAAGCAACACATAACAACAAGGCAGTTTATCTCTGTTATCATATATTCTCAAGCCAAGAATAACCTCTCCACAACCAGCAAGGATTACAAGTATTTGGTAACACATAAGCCTCAGCCAAAGGGCTTAAAAACCATCAAGCTCCCTACAGGTCTGTGTCCAAAACAGGGAAAACTTCAGATGTTAAACTGCTTTCTCTTAATGCCCATTTGAAAGTTTGTTTAAAAAAATAATAATAATAATAATCAGGCAAAATTGAAGTTATACTGCTTTTATAATAAAAATTATTTACTAATCAACTCATCCTGGTTTACAGCATAATTATCTCTGAAATTACCTCCTAACAGCACAGCAACAAAGAGCATACTTCCAATGAACTTATTTCCACAAACAAACAAAAAAGGTATGTGGGAGTTTCAACAGACTAGAAAGACCTACTGGTGCAGAAGTCCAAGGAGTATGTGCATAACTTTAACGTAACTTCTAATAATGTCAAATAAAGTCTACCTGCATTAATGGGCAGCTATTTATCTCAACGGTGTCTCTTAATTGAACAATATGATAGGAAGATACACATTTAAATGAAACCTCTTCTTAACTTGTCTGTTGTCATACTGATGTTGAAGGCATAACTAGACATACAATAGATTTCCCTCTATTGTGCCTCTCAGCACAATCTAGGACTCTGCAGGGGCTCTGAAGATGGCATGCTAATCATCCAAGTTAGACTTGGGTGCACCATTCAACATCAGGGAAAATTCTGGTTTTGGAAATGCTGTATCATAATGATATGTAGAGTACTACAACACAGTCAAAATACTGGAAAGTAAGCACTGAAAAGCACTACTAGAACATCTCAGTAAAACTTCTATGAGTTGCTTATTGCAAATGTCACATCTGCCCTTCTTCACAACTTTTTGGCTTCTAGAATACTGAAAAACAAAAACACGTAATTTATTCTCTAAATCCAAACAGAATACCACTCCAGCATAAAGCTCACTTTGTAAATGTTTAGAGTTTGATACTTCACAAGTTCAGATACAGCACTGAAACAAATCTACTTAACAGTTAGTCATAAAAGGGTGTAAGCCAATTAGGAAGCACATCTCCCCAGCTTTACTTACATAGTTCTGCAGCAAAGAGCCTATAGTAAGTACGCTCTCTTCAAGTTAAAACTGAAAGGTTCACTATTTTGTCATAGGTTTCTGATATGGAACCTAACTTCTAAATGAGAAGAGACCAATATTTTTACAAATTTTGGCAGCCATGGTTTGCAGCAGAATTCCTTCTAGTTTTAAACAGATCAGCATAACATTTAATTAAAAATATTAATATAAATGTGACTAAAGCATAGCAAGATAAAAGCAGGCCACAAAAACAAAGCTTATCACTTCACAGGAATTTAAGTCCTTACAGTGTAATAAAAATAATCATGATTACCAACTGTTAAATTTCCCCTAAGAAAAAGCACTTACTCATTAAAAAAAAAATTACAAACAAAAAATCCCACAACAAAAACAATACACACACACACACACTACCACCACCACCACCAACCTGATGAGGTTGAATATGAGCAAGTATAAACTCCTACACCTAAAGAAGAATGGCTGCATGTGTCAGAATAGGTTAGGTGCTAACATGACCTTCTAGAAAGGAGCTCTGCAAAGGACTTAGGGGTCCTGCTGGATGATAAGTTGCCCATAAGCCAGCAGCATGCCCTTGCAGCCAAGAAGGGGCCAATGGCATTCTAGCGTGCATTACAAAGAATGCGGCCAGCAGGTCCACGGCAGGTGATCCTCACCCTCTACTCTGTCGCGAAGGCACACCTTCAGTACCGGATCTAGTTCTGCTCTCCCCAGTTCAACAAAGGCAGCAACCTTCTAGAGGGTCCAGCAGAAAGCCAGAGAAATACTGAGGGGCCTGGAACATCCTCCATACAAGGAAGAGAGATCTGGGACTTCAGCCTTGAGAAGGGATCACATCAGTGCCTTATCTAAAGTGCAGGAGACAAGTGATGGGGTTAGGTTTGTTTCAGTGGTACCCAGGGACAGGAATAGTGGCAGCGGGCACAGAAAGTTTCATTCAAACATGAGGAAGAACATCTTTACTTTGACTGTGACAGAGCACTGGAACAAGCTGCCTACAGAGGTGTTGGAGTCTCCTTTTCTGGAGATATTCAGAACTCAACAGAAAGCTTTTCTGTGCAACACCGGATGGAACCTACTTTAGCAGTCAGTTGGAATAGATGATCCCCAGCAGTCCCTTCCAACACTTACAATTCTGCTTTTCTGTGAAATGCCACTGAAGTTTCAGACTCTGACTCTATGTGTGCTTCATTAGAGAAGGTGCCATAGGTGCCTTTACAAGTCTTTGATCTCATCAGTCACCTTCAAATACAACTGCGGCGAACAGTCTCATATTACTAGTTAACTTTGGTTAGTAAAAATTAAAAATTTTTACTGCCTACACATATAATCACGTCTGCAGACTGATTGGGTACTTGATAGTTAAGTCCTGCTTTGAATAACTACCTTACTATTTGTAGTATAAAAATTGCAATTTTCCTGATCCCTAAAAAGAAAAGCTACCCAAAAATTAGACACTGATGTAAAGCATAGGCAGGCCAGCCATTTAAATTCTCTGCATAACAATATCACAACTGGCGGAAGAACTACTGTCTACTAAAAATATTATACCCTACTTATGCAATGAAGGCTAAACACTAGAGAAAAGCTGTTAGACCAGGAATTTGGCCTAAATTATCCACCAAACTGGCCACATTTTTAGAAGATATAAAGAACATCCACAAGTAAAGTATAGATCAGCTGAAAACACACATCAGATTTAATATCTTAGGGAAGCACAATATCCCTGAAGATTCTGAAGGAAAAACACAAAGCATGCCTGTTCTTGTAATGCCAAGAGTGGACGCTTAAGGTTTCTTATGAAATGCATTCCTTACACTTCACTGCTTTATAGGAACAGATGTTCAAAAGGCAGAACCAACACCAAGAGCACTTCAAAAAATTATTCTAAAACATATTATGGCACACTAGGAAGAAAGATTCTACTTTTTTACACTTTACAAAGCTGAATAAAGGACACCTGAGTACTTTAACTGAGAGCTTAAAATACTTACCGTATTTCTGATCTTCATATTCAGACTGTTATAAGATTCTTCAAGTTCTCGTATTTTTTTTGTCAGTGGAGATTGCATTTCCTTCAGATTCTTCAGTTCTTCCTTGGCCTGGTCTCTCCTTTGTTTTACATCCTCATGTTGCTGACGAACAGTTTCATATTCCTTGGAGGAGTTGCAAGTAATAAAGATTTTTGTTCTTCCATTCTAACAATGCTTCAAAATTTTAAGTAACTGAACAGAAGTTTTAAGAGAAATATCTCTTTTATAGGCTACAGCTAGGGTGACTACTCTAGTAATCCTCCCGTTATTTATTGATCACTATCACTACTATATCACTATATATTTATTGATCACTATGACCAAAAGATACAGAGATCATCTCATCTTCAATGAGCAGCATGCACATTTAATGGTTCTCAGGTGACAGATAATAGCAGAAGAAATCCGCTTGAAACAACTCTTCCTCTAAATTCATCCAGGATAAACGCAAAAAAGGTAATTATTTAGCCCGTCTACATTTGGAGCATTAATTAGGCTGAAGTTCTTAAGCTACGAAGCAAATAACCACAGAAAACTTTAGGAGAAAGAAAAGGATGGAACAACTAGATTAGAGCTAGTACCATATAACATTGCAGTAAACACAAATAAGGCAGAGGAAAGAGAGAGAGAGAGAAAGAAAACTTCACAAAGCAGACAAGGAAAAAAATGAAAACAAAAAAAGAAAAACCCAAAAAGTTTCCACCTTCAACTACAAATGTCAAAGAAGTCAATATATAAGGTGTCCAACCTATGTGCAAGAAGCATTCCAGAGAAAAAATGGAAATCAATGCAACTATAAAAAATGCTACTACTAAGAAACTGGGAATTTTGGGAAAGAAGTTAAGGTTGAGTCATTATTAGAAACTAGTTTATTTTTTCATATTACATCTTCTGGAAAAAATAAATAATAAAAAAAAACGTGGTCCAATGATTGTTATATGTTTACAAGAGAAGAAGAGATACTCAGAGGAGAAAAGGAGAAGGAAGAGATATGCACAAGTAGGATAACAGAGGAGGAAAAAAGTGCGCTGGATTTGACAGGCACGAAGAAAGCCTCTGGTCCACTGCATATGCCCTTATTACTCTAAGCTTTGAAACAAAACAGAAGAATAGAATACAAGCTCCATCTGTAAGAACTAACTCTGCATTATCTACCACTAGATGGGACTTACATGGCAACACTTGGTAGGTGGGAACTGTAGTGGTGGCCTCTGCGTGCAGAGCCCAGATCGGAGCCAGCTCCAGCTGCTCCAAAAGGGACCCACTGCTGGCCAGAGCTGAGCCATGACCAACACTGGGTGTGTCTCAGAGAGAGCAGACTGAAGAAAGGCAAAAAACTGCCATGCAACAGCAGCTGGGGGAAAGGAGTAAAAAACTATGGGAGAAACAGACATACAACCTCCAACATCAGTGCACAAGGAGGGCAGGAGGTACACCAGGTGTGGAACATAAGTTTCCAGCAGCTCAGGAGAGGTCCATGGACCAGCAGGCTGTCCAGGAGAGATCCAGGAGCAGCAGGCTGTCCCTCTGCAGGGTGGTGCAGATCTCCACACGCAGACTGTGAAGGAGCCCACAGTACAGCAGTGAATGTGGCCTGAAGGATGCTGCAGCATAAGAAGAGCCCCAGAAGAAGCAGGCCCCAGGGGTATGGAGCTACTGCCCATGGTAGAGCAGGAGATACAGGGAAGCTGGTGCACATGGGGACTTGTGGTGTTGCAGTACAGTCCTAAAAGATGGGCCCCATAGTAGGGAGCCATGCTGGAGCAGCACTTGGAGAGCTGCATCCTGTGGGAAGCCCAGAAAGGATTAGTTTGGGAAGGATGGCATTCCATGGGACAGACCCCATGTGAACAGGGGAAGGGAGTGACCACAGAGGATGTGACAGCAGAGATGAAGAGTTACAAGCCCCCATTCCACATTCCTTTGTGCTGCTAGGAGAAGGGGCTGAAAAGCCAGTTTCGGTTTGCTTTTAGCTTCTCACTGCTGTAGTCTGTAGCAGTAGGCAGTACATTATGTGAAACTCCCTTATGCTGAGCCTGTTTTGCCAGAACCTGTTGAGCAATCTTTGTCTTTACTTTAATTCTTCTGAGGGGGAAATTCAAGAACGTGTGACCAAGCTTAGCTGCCCATCGGTGTGATACTACCACAGTCATCACTTCCTCTTAGTTATTTAATCTATTTGTAAACATACATGATTAATTAAAAAAAAAAAAAAAAATCTATTCAGGCTATTTCTTTTTCACAATACCTATTTCTATACATACGAAACATATTTCAAGAAAGCTACTGTAACCTAATCTAACACTAATCCCTTTAACACAGCACAGTTCCAGCATTGCTGTATTAGAAAAACTACGGCAGGTAAGAGAATCACTGAGTATAAAATGAAAACGTACCACCCAAGGTCTTTTTCTCTGAAGCATATCAATCAGGTCTAGATGGCGCTTGCATTCATGGTATCTATCAACATCCTGTTTGTATCGTTCAGCCCGCTGTTTCATTTTTTCCAAAGAGTTGACTTTGTCTTTGCATACATTCTGCAAGAACACACATTTTCATATTTTGTAGTATCTACTCCATGCAAAAACATTTCAGAAGTCATCTATACCTCACCTGAACATTAACTATGCCAAAATTTAACAGTAGAGGACAATTTAGTATAGCAGTAATTATAGGGAAAGAATACAATCGGAATAGTTGTGCAGCTTTTTCAAGTAGCTTCATTAAATGCTTCCTGTGAAAACAAATATAAGTTAAAACTGAAGAAAACCTTTTAAAATTTATTGAAGTTTCCTAATGCATTTCACCCCTACAAGCTGATTCTGCTAAACACAAGTAGTGAAAATACTTCTGAAAGATCTCACGGAGATTAATAACAGAAATACTAAGATTGTTATTTTGAAGCACTGTGTGTGAATGGAAGTGCACATGTGCGTGCATAAACATTAGGAGTGGAACTAAAGATTAGGAGAACCACCTGTACTGACAACAACAGCCACTTTCCAGAACATATCATTCCAAGATACCATTCTCAGCACTGAGTAACACATTATTTCTGTAAAAATTAGAAAACTTGATATCTGGGAAATTCACAGCACAGATGAGTGTCAGAGAAAGACCCTGCATGCTAACAAAAGGACAAGCTTGCACCGTATCACATATGCTAACCCTTTTCATTTGTTAAAATTTTAAGGCAGGAAAAAAGGACTAAGAGGTAACAATCTTATCCACAAATCATGGAAATCAAGATTAAAACAAATGAACATCTCTTCCCAGCTCATGGCTCCTAAAACAGCATAAAAGGTAAAGCAGTCAGTCCTTCAAGGACCCCAGAAAAACCATGAGGAGATCACAGCAGGCATCCCGTCACCTCTATGTTCAGAATACTTACCTTCATGTGTTTTAGTGCTTTCAAGCTTGAGAGTAAGTAAGATGTGAAAGATATGCACTGCTGGGTAAAATGTACCTACTACAGACTTGGTAAATGAACAACCTGTGAAAAAAATCTCCGAGACCTCACGTTAAATTTTATAACGTGACTTTCCCTACAGCCATTCATACCTGTCTATACAATATACAAGTTTACCTCTAGTTCTCTTTCTTTTTCTTTTAAGCTTTTCAGTTTACAATGAAATTGATACATTTCTGGAGGACCAATGGATTTTTCAGTGGCTTCAAGTAATTCAATCTTACTCATTCTTGCAAATTCTCCAACTTTGTCCTACGAAATAATAACAAAAAAAACAATACAAATACAGCAATAGTTAAAATAGTACAGTACAGTAATACTGGATTTAAATACAGCAATTCTACTTCTCACAAACATCAACTTACAGTTATCTATCTAATAGTCCAGATGAAGTTAATTACAGGACAACTATCTGACTGAAAGGCAACCTAATCTTCCTTTACACTTGTAAGATTTCATACATGGCTTTCTCTGAGCTGTTCTGGCATAATTTAAGTTTAAACCTTAGCTCAGTTGTTATTTCAGCAGCTGGGGACAGGTCTTGAGGACAAGGGTTGGCTCATCAATTTTGAACTGGCTATCATTTCTTCTGAATGAAGAAGGAACTGTTCACTTTGGGTAATTTATGTGTATTCAAGAAGACAGACCAAAAAACTTCTCCTTGAAGAGATGAATAGGCAAAACTGGCTAGGTTCCGACAAGGTTCCCCTTTACTACCATCCATAAAGATCTCCATGAACTAGAAAGGAACAGAATTGTCTGCACAGAAACTCTGAACATCACTATCTCAAAGAAACTCTAACCTTCCTGAGCATGGATTCAGGTATCAAAGCAGTGTGCAAGCTCCTAAGAGAGAAGACATTCCCCGTCAGGAAAATTTTACTCTTACAAACACTGATTCTGAATATCCTTAAGACCTACCCTATGCCCAAGAAACTGTTGAGCCACAGAAGTAAAAAAAAGGCTATTAGCAATTTCTCTTGCAACTGCAAGATCACTTAACAAGGCTGCTTTCTGGATTTCGGAGAAAGAAAACCAGACAACTTTTTGCCTTCATTTACCAACTACATAATCCAGTTCTGAGGAAGTGACTAGTTATAGAGAAAAACACATGCAGAGATTGACAGGATAAGTCAGGGATGCAGGACTGTGGATGCCCCATCCCTGGAGGTGCTCAGGGCCAGGTTGGATGGAGCCCCAGGCAGGCTGATCTAGTTGTAGATACGGAGGTTGGCAGTCCTGCAAATGGCCAGGGGGTTGAACCTTAACGATCCTTGAGGTCCCTTCCAACCCAAGCCATTCTGTGATTCTATGACTGAAGGAATCACGCAGATAAGGGCATAAAGACAGTGCTAGACCTCAACATCTTACAACACTTTCACTACAGCTTTGCTGATGCGTTTAAGAACACCTCTACAGTAGTAGAGAGGACAAAGAGGCAACAACTAGCATTGTTACACACACAAAAATAGAAGGAAAAAAAAAACATCAGCTACTTTTCCTTAGGTCTCACAGCATGTAAAGACTGTCCAATTAGTAAGCTTTACAGGTCACATAGCCTCTTCCTTCTTTCAACACCACAAATACTAGTATTTGTACCTCCCCCCACTCACCTTTTGAATCGTCTTATTAAATTGCTGAAATTGCTGTAAGATGAAGAAATAAGAAGCTACAAAGCTCTCTGAAAATATAACACACCATGCATCCTCCGTACTTCAAAATATTTCATACCTGAGGAAGAAATTGGCACAAATTGTCCACCTGGATATTTAATGCTGCAACCTGCTCCTCTACTGTTTTCAGGGTTGTTAGTTTCTTGTTGATATGCCACGTTGATGTGTTGGTCATTACTTGAATCTCACGTGTGATAATGATATTCTCAGGTACTTTAAACCTGATTAGTTAAAAAAAAAAAAAATGTTTAGATTTCTGAGAGTACACAAAGCTTACAAAATGCAAAAGCACATTAAGAATTTCTATGATTACTTGAATATTTAGTAACTCAACAGTTACAGAAGGTTTTGTTTCAGATGATATCCAACACTTTAATGATGAATTAATCCCACTGTACCTCTGGTGCTACTCCAAAAACATCACAAATATATCCAAATGTCAGCTCAGAGGTATTTATTTATATAAATTATTCCTGATTAATGTACTTAAATTCAATATATATATATTTAAAAACTATTACATATGGAATGGTTTATAGAAACATAATTTTATTTGAAATAGTAAGCATTAAAATTGGCACACAGGAGAAATAAAACCACTAAGTTCTTAGGGCAAGAAAAATTCATGTACAGAATTCCATCAGTAAACTATGCATATGCATTCCAGCTGGAAACAAAGACTGCATCATACTAAATGAAAACAGCAGTATGTTTTCATTTTCCGCTTTCAAAGAATTGCAGTTCTTTGCACCAATGATGCACCAACTGCCCATTTAGTTCTCTACTTCAACACTTCAAAAATTTAGTCAGGTTAACAGTAGAAACAAATGAGCAATGAGACAGTCATAGTCTCAAAATCTTGGTCAGCACTTCAGTTTGGAAATTGTCTAGTCTGTTTAGAACACACACTGTTAAAAACAAAGAATATAGGCTCATAACATTTTGGACTTTTAGAAAGTTTAAGAATAGAGATGACAGTAGAAGTGAGTCATTCAGCAAGTAGAGTAAGTGCTGTAAACTGTAACAACAGGAACCTACTTGTGGAGGACTACATGAATATTTCCCTACAATCACCTATCTCCAAAGTTTAATCTACCCATGTTCTTCAAAAGATCTACAGATCCACGCTCCTTCCTTTTATCAAATAAAAAGTTTTTTGCAAAGGCTCTTGATTTCAGTTACAATTCAAAGACTATATCTAATATTTACAACTCAAATTTTCAAATTCGTGTTAACAAATTCACCTCAGGGTAAATAACAAACAAGTGTTAAGCTTGTGAGTAAAAATTAAAGGGCAAGATAAAATAGGTAACATGGCTGCAAGTGTGTACTACAGGCCACCAAACCAGGAGGAAGATGGTGAGGCCTTTAATTACCCTAATATTTGCTGGATAAGCAACACAGCCAGGCACACAATCCGGAAGTTCCTGCAATGTGCTGAAGATAACTTTCTGATGCAGTTGGTGGTGGAGCAGATGAGGAGAGGTGTGATTCTTGACCTTGTTCTTACTACCAAAGAAGGGATGCTGCAGATGTGAAGGCTTGGGGTAGCTTGGCATGCAGCAATTATGAGCCAGTGGAGTTGAAGACCTTGTCAAGTCAAGCAGAAAGCAGGACTGCTACCTGGACTTCAGGAGAGCTGACTCTGACCTCTTCAAAGATGTACTTGGAGGTATCCTACCCAGCCTGATGCCCCACAGACATTAGAAGGGACCTGTGAGAGATCCTTAACACTTAAGCACCACTCCTTCCAAGCTCCACTTTGGTGCAACCCTAAAAATAAGAAATCAAGGAAAGACAGCAGGAAGGATGAGCACGGATGAGCAACGAGCTCATGGGTAAACAAAAAGGAAAGCAGGTCCACAATATGTGGAAAGAAGGCCTGTCCACTTGGGAAGAATATATGAACGCCGTCAGGACCTTAAGAATGCAACAAGGAAGGCTAAAGCCCACCAGGACTTAAACCCTGCAAAGGAGGTAAAGGACGGCAAGAAAAGTTGTGGGGTTTGTTTTTTTTTTTTGTCTGTTTTTAAGTACATCAATAGTAAAAGGAAGACTAGGGAAAACATGGGTGCCCTACTAAATGACGTGGGTGCCCTGGCAACAGGGGACACTGAAAAGGTGGAGATACTGCATGCCTGCTTTGCTTGTCTTTACTGTGAAGACTGCCCCACGGGACTTCCAGACCCCAGAGGTCAGAGAGAAAGTTTAGGAAATGGAAGGCTTCTCTAGAGTTGGCGAGGAGATGGTCAGAGACCATCTAGCCAAAATCAGTGTACACAAATCTATGATCTACTGTCGGATGCACCCATGTGTGCTAAGGGAGCAGGCAGAGATAGCTGCTGAATCAATCTCTATCACGTTTGGAAGATCCTGGAGAATGGGAGTTCCTCAAGACCACAGGATTTAACGTCACTCCAGTTTTCAAAATTCTGTAAGGAGATCTAGGAAACTACAGGGCAGTCAGCCTCACCTCCATCCCTGAAAAGGTGATGGAACAACTTGTTCTGAACACCCTCTTCACACAACCAGGAGAGAAGAAGGTTATCAGGAGTCATCATCATCATGAATCCACCAAGGGGAAATCATGCTCGACCAATTTGGTAGCCTTCTACGATGTAATCACTGGCTGGGTAGATGGGGAGAGAGCAGTGGATGTTGAGCACCATGACTTCAGCTAGGTCCTCCTGGGAAGATCATGGAACAGATCATCCTGGATGAAATGCTTGATCACGTGAGGAATGAGCGTGTGATCCAAGACCACCAGCACGGCTTCACCAGGGGAAGGTCATGCCTGACCAATCTGGTGGCGTTCTCTGATGGAGTGATGGCATCAGTGGACAAGGGAAAGTCGACCAATATCATTTACCTAGACTTGAGCAAGGCCTTTGACATGGTCCCCCCACATCCTTATCTCCAAATTGGAGGAATGTGGACTTGATAGGTGGACCACTCGATGGATAAGAAACTGGTTGAAAGGCTGCAGACAGAAGGTGGTCATCAATGGTTCTGTGTCCAGGTGGAGGCCGGTAATGAGCAGTGTCACCCAGGGGTCTGTCCTGGGACCGGTGCTCTTCAACATCTTTATCAATGACATCGATGACGGAATCGAGTGCACCCTCAGCAAGTTTGCTGAGGACACCAAGCTGAGTGGCGCAGTTGACACAGTGGAAGGAAGGGATGGCATTCAGAGAGACCTCGAGAGGCTTGAAAGGTGGGCCTGGGTGAACCTGATGAGGTTCAACACAGCAAAGTGCAGAGTTTTGCACTTAGGCCAGAGGAATCCCAGACATCCACACAGACTGGAAGGAGCAGTGCTTGAGAGCAGCCCTGCACAGAAGGACCTGAGGGTCTTGATGGATGAAAAGCTTAACATGAGCCAGCAGTGTGCTCTTGCAGCTCAGAAAGCAAATGGTATCCTGGGCTCCATCAGAAGAGGGGTGGCCCACAGGGACAGGGAGGTGATTGTCCCCCTCTACTCTGCTCTTGTGAGGCCCCATCTGGAGAACTGTGTCCAGGTCTGGAGCCCCCAGTACAAGAAAGACAGGGAGCTGTTGGAGAGGGTCCAGAGGAGAGCCATGAAGGTGATCAGGGGACTGGAGCACCTCCACTACAAAGAGGGGCTGAGGGAGCTGGGTTTGTTCAGCCTGGAGAAAAGAAGGCTGCAGGGTGACCTCATTGCAGCCTTTCAATACCTAAAGGGAGCCTACAAACAGGAGGGGAATCAACTCTATGAAAGGGTGGATAACTGCAGGACAAGGGGAAATGGTTTTAAGTTGAAGGAGGGAAGATTTAGGTTGGATGTCAGGGGGAAGTTCTTTACAGAGAGAGTGGTGAGGTGCTGCAACAGGCTGCCCAGAGAGGTTGTGGATGCCCCGTCCCTGGAGGTGTTCAAGGCCAGATTGGATGGGGCCCTGGGCAGCCTGGTCTAGTATTAAATATGGAGTCTGGTAGCCCTTCATGTGGCAGGGAATTGGAGATTTATGATCCTTGAGGTCCCTTCCAATCCTGGCCATTCTGTGATTCTAACACCATCTCCTACAACATCCCTGTTATGAAACTTAAAAAGTATGGGATGGATGAGTAGACAGCGAGAAGATTAAGAAGTGGCTGACTGAGCTCAGAGTGTTGAAGTGGTGGATAGTCTAATTGGAGGCTTCCAATTAGTAGGTCGGTGTTAGGTCCAGTCTTGTTCAACACTTTCATCAGTGACCTGGATGAAGGGATATGGAGACCAATCTCAGCAAGTTTGCTGATGGTATAAAGCTGGGAGAAGCAGGAGCACTGAAAGGCAGTGCTAGCATTCAACAAGACCTGGACATACTGGAAAGTTGGGCAGGGAGGAATCTGATGAGGTTTAACAAGAACAAGTGTAGAGTTTTGTACCTTGGGAGAAATAACTGCATGCATCGGTACGAGTTAAGGGATGACCTGCTGGAGATGAGCTTTGTGGAGAAGGACCTGGGGGCCCTGGTGGATGACAAGTTGACCATGAACCAGCAGTGAGGCAACTGGATGAAATCAGGCTCTTCTCAGTGGTGTGTAGCAATAGGACATGGAAGAAAGGCCTAAAGCTTGAACACTGGAAGTCCCATACAAACATGCAGAACTTCTTTACAGTAAGGGGGAATGGAACACTGGATCTGGTCATGCAGCGAGGTTGTGGAGTTTCCTTCCCCATAGATATTCAAGACACATCTCAATGCCTACCAGTCAGACCTATTGCGGGGAACCAGATTTCCTAAGGACTCTTTCAATGCTGCAAATCTGTGACTGTTCATCTACTCAAGCCATTCTCTTTAACTACTTCCTACCAACTAGACAAAGTCTGAACCACTGCAATAGCATTACATCTTAACATACTACACATTTCTCTTCAGACTTTCAAACAATACAACAATCTAGTATCTATGCTGGAAAAGACACAGTGTCTTAGAGAAAGTTATTCTAAATCCAGACCCATCACAACATCTTCAAAGAATGACCAACTTGACAACTCCTGTGAGCAAAAAAGTCAAAGGATTTTTTTTTTTCCAAAGACCTGTTCCAGCTTGTCTTTTTCTCTTAACGCAATTCACATTTCATTCCATTTAGTCAGGGCAGCCAATTTTTATACAAATTAACTATGGATTGGAATCAGTTGAGTAGTTCTACACCCAGTGCAGACAAACATTCCAAGGATTGCGAAAAAAAAAAACAAACAAAAACCACATTGCTGTTGCTGTTTCAAGTTAATGTCTACCACAAAGCAGCCAATGAGGAACTGTTAGCATAGGTTCTCTTTGTTCACATTTAGTTCACCACTAATACAGGCAGCATGCCTTCTATGACTTGTTTGCCAGTAAACATGAGTAACTGACCTAATTTCACGACTAACTCCGAATTATGTTTTAGTTGCTCTATCTTGTGTAAGCTTACTCAGAAGACTGTATTGCCAGGAATTAGTTAGATCTAGTTTTTGCATTGTTTTGTTTCAGTACATATTATTTCCAGTAAGAACACAGAAGAATCCCTCAGGTCAGCATCAGCAGTGCAAGTGAAGGCAGAATACTGGTTTTAGAATTTATACCACATTCATTCTTTTTCCTTTTTAAGTCACTTCCAACCACTATATCATGACAGTAGTACTGACTGAATCAATTCTGCCCTCCATACCATCAAAAACTCAACACATTATATATACATCAATCTTTTTCTACATATTCTTTGTGCACAAAGACAAGGCAAAAATGGTTCAGAAGGCAAAATTTAGACCAACCGGTCACTGTCATTTGTTGAGTTATATGTTTTAAAGCTTAAAATGTTGAAGGGGAAAGAGAAAAAAGAAGCCATCAGCTACAGCTTAGAGGAAGGTCTCTGTACATGATCTTTTTTCCACAGCTACATAAGAAAGTATATGACAAAATAAACTAATTAAAAATGCATGAGGAAATATAATTTTACTACTTACAGTTCAATTTCCACTAGACCTTTCAAACACCCCTGCTTTACAAAGAGACCAACCTAGAAAATGAATTACAGAAATTATTATTGCAAAATAACACTGCTTTAAAATGTAATCTCTTACCGAAATATGCATTTGTACTATAGGCTTGCTATAATGGTATATATTATTGAAAACCTTACTTTTCTTCTGGCTGTGTATTAGATAAAAATAAAGGAAGATGCTATTAATTTCCTCTTTCATAAAATAACAGCACCAGAACTTGTATTTCTGATCAATTTCAATCTTCAGAACTGAACAAATTACAGCCAGCAGATCCACAGAGATTAACAAGTTCAGTAAACAAAGGCAACAAAACTCAAAGGCAGTGGCACGTGTTAATACTAATAGTATAAAAGTATATAATCATAAAAGCAGCAATAAAAGCATGTAGGCAATTTCCTTATTTACCTTAGATTGAGATAGAGCTGTAATATGCACAAACATTTACATAACCAGATTGAGTGCTCCAAAGAACTACTGAAATGTATTTCATTTAACTGAAACAGCCCAGAAAGCAAGAGGAAAAAAAAAAAAAACCAAGAAAAAAAAAAAACTGACAATAAATAAATAAATTTTCTACTCTAAAGTCACCATATAATCTCGAGGAAGCAAATATGATGAATCCTAAATTAAAATAATAATAGTGAAACTGAAAGTCATCCAGATTAATGGCTCCAAGCCTTTATAAAACACCTTTACACATATCAAGAAAATCTTATTTCTATGGGTGACACTCTGCAACACTGTGGAAATCAGAAGACATGACATTTGTGACATTTTCTTTATTCAGGTTGCATTACAATTCAGTTATTTTCCATTTTTTAATTTTGACAAATCAATCAGCAGTTAAATAGGGCAACCATTTTGGTAACAGCCTTGTCTCTGGCCCAAGTTATTCTACAGCTTCAACACCTTATATTTTTTACAAAAACAGAACATATCAAAGAAAACAGTTCATTCATTCCTTTCCCCTCCCTGCTGGACAACACTCTTAATGAAGAGCTGTATAATCAATGAATACATATGTTATAATTAAGAAATATATGACAGAGTTTGGCTAAGCAGGTTATTACACCAAAAAAGAATAGATAGAGGGCTTACCCTTGTCCTGGGCTCACTATAAAACCTCACTATAAAATCCCAAAGGAGGGATCTCCAGAAAGAAATCCTTCCCCACTGGCAGTCAGCTCTTAAGAGGGGTCTAGGAGAGGTGGAGCCAGGCTCCACTCCTTCCAGCAGCACAGGTGAGTTGCCTTCACCTGTGCTCCTGTGGCTGACTCATTGCTCACCTCAGGTGATCAATCAGAGGTTCAGGCCTTGATTCAGCAGTTCCCATACAAGTTCACATTAAACATGAAAATTAAAAATGTTCATAGTCACCTTTTCAGCCCGTCCTAAGAAAGAAGGTTTTCCAGCCAGACCCAGACAGATGGCACAAACAATGCTTGACTTCCCTGTTCCATTAGCGCCTATAATCATGTTCAAGTTCGGTCCTGGATGTACTTCACAGATGTCATATGTTCTGGAAAACACAATATTTTCTTCATAAATAATATGCCATTTAAAAAAAAAATTACTTGCTCAAAACCATTTTGATTACACTAAATATGACAGATCATTATTGTATCAGATAGATTCATTGTTCAAATGTTACTTTGTAAATAAACCCCAGAGTGAAAACCGACACTCCACTGAACACAGTAGAACAAGTTTTTACCTGTTGGAGCACTTACAACAACCTCCTTCAGAACACATGTTTATAAAGGAATGAAATCTAGCCCAAAAAAGTGACAACTCCTATTAACTTTACTAGGACTTGATATTATCCACTCAGTTGCCTCTCACTGCAGTCACAGAAGCAGATTAAAGCTAAGTCGTACAATAAAGTTGTCCCTGGAAAGGTGATGGAATAGCTGATGCTGGATGTCATCTCCAGACAACTGGAAGAAAAGGAGGTTATCAGGAGCAGTCAGCACGGTTTCACCAGGGGGAGGTCGTGCTTGACCAACCTGGTAGCCTTCTATGATGTTGTCTCTGGCTGGGTGGATGGGGGGAGAGCAGTGGATGTAGTCTACCTTGATTTCAGCAAGGCATTTGATACTGTCCCCCATGACATCCTTGTAACAAAGCTCAGGAAGGGATTTAGACAGGCTGAACCACTGGGCTAAGGTGAATGGGATGAGGTTTAACAAGACCAAGTGTCGAGTTCTGCACTTTGGGCACAACAACCCCATGCAGTGTTATAGGCTATGGGGTGAGTGGCTTGATGAGTGTGAAGAAGAGAAGGACCTGGGGGTGTTGGTTGATGCTCGGCTGAACATGAGCCCACAGTGTGCCCAGGTGGCCAAGAGGGCCAACAGCATCCTGGCCTGCATTAGAAATTGTGTGGCCAGCAGGAGCAGGGAGGTGATCATCCACCTCTACTCAGCACTGGTGAGGCCGCACCTCGAGTACTGTGTTCAGTTTTGGGCTCCTCACTACAGGAAAGATGTTGAGGTCCTGGAGCGTGTGCAGAGAAGGGCAACGAAACTGGTGAGGGGTCTGGAGCACAAGGCTTAGAGGAACGGCTGAGGGAGCTGGGATTGTTCAGTGCGGAGAAGAGAAGGCTCAGGGGAGACCTCATTGCACTCTACAACTTCCTGAAGGGAGGCTGTGATGAAGAGGGATTTGGCCTCTTCTCCCAGGCAATGAGCAGGACACAGGGAAATGGCCACAAGTTGTGTCAGAGGAGGTTTAGGTTGGACATAAGGAAGAATTTCTTCTCTCAGAGAGTGATCAGGCACTGGAATGGCTGCCCAGGGAGGTGGTGGTGTCACCGTCCCTGGCAGTGTTCAAGAGGCGTCTGGATGACGTGCTGCGTGGTATGGTTTAGTGCTAGTGGTGGCAATGGTGATGAGGAATGGATGGACTGGATGATCTTATAGGTTGTTTCCAACCATGTGATTCTATGATTCTATGATTCTATGAAGTGTGGAATAGATGAGTGGACAGTGAGGTGGGTTGAGAACTGGCTGACTGGCAGAGCGCAGAGGGTCGTCGTTGGTGGTGCAGAGTCTGGCAGGAGACCTGTAACCAGCAGTGTCCCCCAGAGGTCTGTGCTGGGTCCGGTCTTGTTCAACATCTTCATCAATGACCCTGATGAGGGGATAGTGGCCACCCAGTTTGCTGATGATACGAAGTTGGGAGGATTGGCTGACATGCCTGAAGGCCGTGCTGCCATTCAGCGAGACCTGGACAGGCTGGAGAGCTGGGCAGAAAAAAAACAGATGAGGTTTAACAAAAGCAAGTGCAGAGTCTTGCATCTGGGGAGGAATAATTGCATGGACCACTACAGGTTGGGGAATGAGCTGCTGGAGGGGAGCTCTGCAGAGAGGGACCTGGGTGTCCTGGTGGATGATAGGTCGGCCATAAGCCAGCAGTGTGCCCTGAGGGCCAATGGCATCCTGGGGTGCATTAAAAAGAGCGTGGCCAAGAGGTCAAGGGAGGTGATCCTCCCCCTCTACTCTGCCCTGGTGAGGCCTCATCTGGAGTACTGCGTCCAGTTCTGGGCTCCCCAGTACAAAAAGGACAGGGATCTCTTGGAAAGAGTCCAGCGGAGGGCCACGAAGATGGTGAAGGGCCTGGAGCATCTCCCCTATGAAGAAAGACTGAGTGAACTGGGTCTGTTCAGCCTCAAGAAAAGAAGACTGAGAGGGGACTTGATCCAGGTTTATAAGTATCTAAGGTGTGGGGGGCAGAATGGCGAGGCCAGACTCTTTTCAGTGGTGAATGGAGACAGGACAAGGGGAAACAGCCGCAAACTGCAGCATAGGAAGTTCTGCACAAATGTGCGCAAGAACTTCTTTACAGTGAGGTGACGGAGCACTGGAACAGGCTGCCCATGGAGGTTGTGGAGTTTCCTTCTCTGGAGATGTTCCAGACCTGCCTGGATGCCTACCTGTGCGACCTGCTGTAGGGAACCTGCTTTGGCAGGGGGATTGGACTCAATGATCTCTGGAGGTCCCTTCCAACCCCTACAATTCTGTGATATGCATCATGGCTTTTCAGTTCTGCAAGAAGCCATCGGGTTCTGTGATTCTCCACCCCATAGGCTGGACATTATCCAGTAGCTTCCATTTCTTACAAGCACACAAATTCAAGGCAAGTCAGTCTGATCAGTAATGATCATCCTATATCGACAAGCTCTAGCATTCGTAGTCCTGTTCACAGCCTGCACCAGACACAAAGAGGAAACAAGGTGCTATCACCAAGAAAGGAACAGGAGTCTCAACAATACGACAGTGATGTACTTCAATATGCCATGCTGTACTTCTGGAAAACAGCATTCTCAAATCCTTTGCCCTAAGACTTGAAGACGTTTTAGGCTCCACCAGCCATTATGTACTGTGACCCACAATCTATGCTGAACAAAATTCTTCTCAAGGCTGAAAAGGACACCAGCCATAAGAAACGGAACTGAAAGCTTTCCCGGTAGCCAGCTCCAAATAGAGCCGCATTCCCAGCACGCAGGACTCAGCGAACCACGAGCAATAACCAGCGCCACGGACGCTTTATTCTAAGCCTTAGAATTCTAAGTTCTCAAGCCCAGCCCCTACTGCCCGGACCCGTTCTGCGCTCCTCTTCCCTCCGCGGCTCCACAGCCGCCTAACAGAGCGGGAAAAAGGACGCAGGCACCGAGCGGGACGAGAGGAACAAGCAACCAGGTACGGCCGGCACGCCCCGGCGGAACGCAGGGCCGCGGAAACGGCACCGCGTCGAGAGCGACGGGCAGCCCGCCGCACGCGCGGGCCCTTCTCCCCCGGCGCAGCGACGTTACGCAGCCCCTTCCCCAACCGGCCCACCTCGAGCGCGGGCACAGCAGCACCCTCCGTTAGCCGGGGGAGGCTGCCAGCGCCCGGCTCTCCCGGCCCGCAGCCCGGCCCGCCCCACAAACGTTCCTCGGCGAACATCGCCCCGCGTCGGCCGCCGACCTTCGTCCCCAACGCACCAGCAGCGCCGGCGCCGGCTTCCGAGAAGAAAGCCCCGCCGACCGCTCGCGGACTCACAGGAAGTTCTCCATGTAGATCCTGACGATGGAGCCCTCCACGAAGCGCGGCTTCCCAGCACGATGAGTGTCACAGAGGCGGAGCTGGGAGCCCTCCACCCGCAGCCGCGCCTGCACCGCCATTTTCCTCCCACCCACCCTCCTCGAGCGGGTGCCCCGCACCGCACTCCCATTGGCTGGAGCGGTAAATGGGCGGGACACACGCACTTTGAGGGCATCGTTCATTGGTAGACTCTGCTGCGGTGAGGCTTCCTATTGGTCTGCACCTCGCCAGGCTGATATCCATTCGCTGGAGGAATAAGAGAGCCGGTCCGAGGGGAGGCATTGCGCTCTCTTTCGACAAAGGAGGGGGCGCGGCTGGAGGGAGGGCGCGGCTGGAGGGAGGGCGGGAAGGCGGGAAGGCGGGAAGGTAGTGCGGGCGCGCGTAGACAGCAGCGAGTCGCGGGCTGACCGGAGGGAAGTGCCCTCTTCCCGCCTCGCTTGATCGCGCCTCCCAGCCGGCGCGACGTCATGTTCCTGCGGCCGCCCCGGGGGGTCGGCCAAGCCGAAGCGGCCGTACGGAATCGGCGAATCGCGGGCTCGCCTTGCCGGCCGCGGGCTCGCCGCGTGTCGCCGCCTGCCGCTGCCTGCCGCTGCCGAGTGTCGTAGGGGAAAGCAGCGCCGGGCGGTGGGAGGGTGCTGCCCACGGTCGAGCCGCCAGGTGGCAGCTGCAGGCCGGTCCCGGCGGCAGCCTTTGAGAGGCGGGGAGAGGGATCCTCTCGTTCTCTCAGTACCTACCTTGGTGCGATCGCTTTTGTTCTTTTTGAATTTAATAAAATAACTGGGAAAATATTTCTCTTACACGTGATACTGCTGTGTTGAGGAAGGCTACGCAGAGGTGGAGGCCTGCAGTTCTGTGAAATTAACGACGCCTGCACCGAGGGATGCCAGCAACGCTCCGACGCTCCTTGCCCTGTCCGTGTGCCTCTTTCCACAGGGCTGTGGAGCACTGCTGGAGGCCGAAGATGGCAAGATGCTGCTGTGGCACCGGGAGCCAGCCCCTGGCTGCAGCGGTTTGACAGAAAGTATACGTGGAAGCAACGTGTCAGCACGATGAACGAGGATCTGCTGGGAGGATTAGCGTATAGGTGCTGTGAGGCCACCTTTGGCTCAGGCTCATCTATAGTGCTCTACAAATGCTGAGGCTGCGTCTGTTAAGATACAGACCTATAGAATCGTTTGAGCTTGAAAGAATCCTAAAAGGCCATCTAGTCTAACTGCTCTGTAACAAACAGGGATATCTACATCTCTATCAGGATGCCTGCCTGACCATCAGTGTCTCCAGGGAAGGGGCTTCCTGTTCCAGTGCCCACCAGTCTCATAAAAAAACCAGCTTCTTAATATCCAATCCAATTCTCCCCTCTTTTAGTTTGAAATTGATTCCCCTTGTCCTATCACAGCCGACCCTGCTAAAGTGTCTGCCCCCTTCTTTCTTATAGGCCCCCTTTAGATACTGAAGGCTGCTATCAGAACTCCTTACAGCCTTCTCTTCAAGATGCTCTGTATGAGTGAATGTAGCCAAAATGGGACCAATGAGGAAAAACTTTGTTAATAAGGTTTGTTTCCTTCAAAGAGGAGGTGGAGAGAAAGTAGAATGGCAGTGAGAAAGTTATATGGAATACAGGGGAAGGAGCCAGGGAGAGAAGGCAGGGAGTTGAGTTGGGAGCCGCTAAGGAGTGAATTATCTTCAGCAAACATTGGACTTTCTTTCAGATCCATGTCCAAGATGAAAGCACAGCAGTGCATGCTAGTAATATCTGTGTGTGGAAGGATAATGAAAATATGTATGTATCATTAGTGAAATAATTAATAGCTTTGTAATTCTATTTAATAAAAGTGCAAAAGGATAAAATTGTATATTTTTAACACTGGTGTATTTCTTACTTAGACTGGTAACTGATCAATTTTTGGTAATATTTTGCATGATAAAAATTCTCAATTAAATCAGTTAAATTGCAAGCTTGCAGTTAGAGCAGGTAGAGTTGAATTCATGAGGTAACTCTTAGAGCCAAGAGTTTAATGTGTTCCAGCCTGAGCCTGGTAAATCGATCCCTTTTTCCCTGAGTTTGACATGGACCATTTTTAAGGGTCTGGAGAGTATGGATGCTTGTAAGAGCTGGAAGGAATAAATGATGAAGTCTGAAAGATAGGTTATGGTTCAACAAGATTAGTTACCAAGTCCTGCACTTCAGTCACAACAACTCCCATGCAGTGCTACAGGTTTGGGGCAGAGTGGCTAGAAAGCTGCACAGTATAAAAGGATCTTGGGGGCATTAGTCCACAGCTAGCTGAACATGAGCCAGCAAGGTGTCCAGGTGGCCAAGAATGCCAGCAGCATCCTGGCTTGTATCAGAAATAGTATAGCCAGTGTAGGGAAATGGACTTCCCTTTGTGCTCAGCAGTAGTGAGACTGTGCCTTGAATACTGTGATCAGTTTTGGGCTTCTCTCTACAGGAAAAGCACTGGGATCCTGCAGTGTGTCCACAGTACAACAAAGCTGGGGAAGGGTTGAGAGCACAGGTATTATGGGGAGTGGCTGAGGAAGTTGGCATTGTTTAGTCTAGAAAAGAGAAGGCTCAGGGAGACCTTAGCACTTTTTACAGCTCTCTGAAAGGAGAATGTGGCAAGTTGGGAATCATCCTCTTCTCCCATGCAACTAATGATGGGACAAGAGGTAATGTGCTCAATATGTGCTGGGTGACATGCAAGGTGGACATTAGGAAGAACTTCTTCTCAGAAAGAGTGGTGAGGCATTGGCATAGGCCGCCTGGGGAAGTGGTGGAGTCACCAAACTTGAAGTGTTCACGAAACAAGTAGATGTGGCAGTGAGGGACATGGTGGTCTGATGGTTGGACTAGATGATCTTAGAGGTCTTTTCCAGCCTTAATGATTCTATAACAGAGACAGTGCTTCAGCCAAGAGGAGTTCTTAAGACAGGGAAAAATGTTAAAGCCATTCAGCATATAAGGGAAGTGAGCTGGAAGGCAGTACTCATCAGAGAGCGAGGAAAAGTGTCAGTACAAGCAGCTGGCTAGGAAAGAGACCAAAATGCATATAAGTAAGATCACTATGCAGGCTGAAAAAAAGAGAGGACATTGGAATAGGTGTTGGAGTGGAGCGGGAGGTGAACAAGGAAAACAACTGAGATAGGGAGAAAACAGCAAGGTAAGAATACAGACTAAAGTGATGTGAAGGAGTAGTGAAAGTTTCTTCAGCCATTCCTAAGCAACTAAGAAACTTGAAATTACATACTAATAAGCTTTTTCCAAAGATAATCACAGAATCACAGAATCACAGAATCACCTGGGTTGGAAGGGACCTCAAGGATCATGTAGTTCCAACCCCCCTGCCCAGCAGGGCCACCAAACGTACACATTCAGATCAGGTTGCCCAGGACCCTGTCCAACCTGGCCTTGAACACGTCCAAGGACGGGGCATCCACAACCTCCCTGGGCAGCCCGTTCCAGGGCCTAACTACTCTCCTTGTGAAGAACTTCCCCCTAACATCCAACCTAAATCTTTCCTCCTTCAACTTGGATCCATTTCCCCTAGTCCTGCTGTTGTCAGCCCTTCTGAAGAGTTTACTCCCCTCCTGGGTGTAGGTTCCCTTCAGGTATTGATAGGCTGCAATGAGGTCACCCCGCAGCCTTCTCTTCTCCTGGCTGAACAAGCCCAACTCCCTCAGCCTGTCCTCATAGGGGAGGTGCTCCAGCCCCCTGATCATCTTAGTCGCCCTCCTCTGGACCCTTTCCAAGATCTCTATGTCTTTCTTGTACTGAGGGCTCCACACCTGGACACAGTACTCCAGGTGGGGCCTCACAAGAGCCGAGTAGAGAGGGACAATCACCTCCCTGTCCCTGCTGACCACCCCTCTCCTGATGGAGCCCAGGATCCCATTTGCCTTTCGAGCTGCCAGAGCGCACTGCTGGCTCATGTTCAGTCTCTCGTCCATCAGGACCCAGAGGTCCTTCTCTGCCGAGCTGCTCTCAAGGACCACTCCTCCCAGCCTGTACGGGTGCCTGGGGTTCTTCCGGCCCAAATGCAAAACCTTGCACTTTGCTGTGTTGAACCTCATTAGGTTCACCCGAGCCCAGCCCTCCAGCCTGTTGAGGTCCCTCTGAATGGCATCCCTTCCTTCAACCGTATCAACCGCACCACTCAGCTTGGTGTCGTCAGCAAACTTGCTGAGGGTGCACTCAATTCCTTCATCGATGTCATTAATAAAGATGTTAAAGAGCACCGGTCCCAAGACAGACCCTTGGGGGACACCACTTGTTACCGGCCTCCACCTGGACATAGAGCCATTGACCACCACCCTCTGTCTGCGGCCTTTCAACCAATTGCTTATCCATCGGGTCGTCCACTCATCAAATCCACTTCCCTCCAATTTGGAGATGAGGATGTGGTGGGGGACCATGTCAAAGGCCTTGCTCAGGTCCAGGTAAATGACATCGGTCGCCTTCCCTTCGTCCACCAATGCCGTCACTCCATCATAGAAGGCCACAAGATTAGTCAGGCATGACCTTCCCTTGGTGAAGCTGTGCTGGCTGTCTCGGATCACATGCTCATTCTTTATGTGATCGAGCATGTTGTCCAGGAGGATCTGTTCCATCATCTTCCCAGGCACGGAGGTGAGACTCACTGGCCTGTAGTTCCCCGGGTCCTCCCTGCTCCCCTTCTTGTATATGGGAGTGACGTGACCCTTCCTCCAGTCATCCGGGACCTCACCTGACAGCCACGACTTCTCAAATATGATGGAGAGCGGCTCGGCAACCACCTCAGCCAGCTCCTTCAGGACCCTGGGATGCACGCCATCTGGCCCCATAGACTTGTATTCATTCAGTCTAAGGAGGTACTCTCGGACTTGCTCTGCCCTTACAGTGGGGAGGGATTTACCTCCTTGGTCCCCACATAGAGGTTTGGGGATGCAGGGTTCATGGACGTGAAGAAGACTAGAATCCTGGCCACCAGTGAAGACCGAGGTGAAGAACTCATTCAGCACCTCAGCTTTCTCTTCATCTGTTGAAGCCAGTTCTCCTTTTAAATTTACCAAAGTAGGTACGCCCGTTTTGGCCTGTCTCTTCTGGCC